GGAACGACTCTATTCATGTGCTTAACATTCCGAGCCTCCTTCGAAGTATCTGCTCCTAAAATATATATACAGGATATAGCTGGTACAGCGCGAACACCCTAACGGTGTCCTTTCCGAGAACTTCCATGGGTCTGGAATTTCTGATTTCGTGATTTCTTTATGGTAGAATTTTCATTCTAGTCAAGTTTGTACCTTATCTATCGAGCAGCCAGGCGTGCAAGGTCTTATCGGCTGGTGCCAGATGATAAAGGTCGTCGTACGCGATGTCTTTTGCGCGTGGACTGCTGACTCTCGGGTACGTCTTCAGTTTGAGAATACAAAAGCCCACGCGACGCAGATTAAATATTTTTAACTATAACACGAAATCCCTTAACGATAACGATTACGATTACACCGATGACTTTTAATATTTATAAAACATACACTTCTGACTAGTTAGGCTTATCCATGTCAGTCCTACTTTACTCAGATTTCTATTATAACGAATGCTAAATGCAATCGCACAAATTGCACTCATGTAAAAGCAATTATCCACGATATCGCACGGTATTTATTGGACATTGAATTTAAAGTACAGGGTCAACCAGGCAACACCACATATCGTCGATACAAAGCAACGAAGGAATAAGCAGGATCATTGAAAACGAAAGTATTAATAAATTCCGTCAAATCCATTGACAATTATATTATTCGTTATACAATTGTCATTAAAGAATATAGGTAGCCAGAGATGCTTAATGATTCGCGAGGATATTGTCAAATCTCACATAAAAGCAAATACGAAATCCGTATATACACATTCAGAAAAACGAAGGATAATTATATCGAAGAGTTACAGTGACAAACCTGGCGTTTACCTTTACCGGAATAATTTTTCGACAATGCCATTTGCCTTCCATTGTATCCAGGTATACATCTTTTCGCCATTCACTATTGTACGCCTGCATCCCATCTGTCCCCCGCGTGCGACCGTCCGTTTACTGGGTGTCCGAAATTTCGTGACACACCGTTCGAACGATCGTCAACCAAGGAAATGAGATAGAGCGAAATCCAACTCACTGGCTAAACATTTCAAAAGTTTTTACAGTCTACATTCCGTAACAATAACACAATTAATCATTGTATTGACGTTTGCGTATAATTAAATGTAGAAGCCTTGCATGGATACTGTCATATTTCCTATTGTCAAAGTGCACGAGGGTGTGATCATTAGATATAATTAGCCGCAAGTGCTTGGCACTTGTTCCAGTACGAATATAAGATGTGTAATGAAACGCGAGTGCCACGGTCTCCGCCCAATCTACATGTTGCCATTCGTACAGGAATTTCTACCGAATGGTATTTTCAAGTACGTCGAGAGAAAAGAATAAAAAAGAAGGTACCAACCAGTGAGAAGGCCTCTGCGTCTCTCAAAACTACGTACGTAAAGGTCAGCCCAATGTGCGTAGTTCCAATTAACGGAAAAAAGTTCATAAAGCATGGCAGACCTTTTCTCTGAAATTATCCTAGGAAATACATTGGCAGAATACAGATAGCGTTAGGGGGAGGGGCGGGGGCGACATCGAGATCCTCAAATGCACATCACGATACTGCTTGAAAAAGCGGCAGGGTCAGTGGATGAAAAAAAAATACTAGATAGAGAAAATATACCAGGAGAACCGGAATCTAGTAAGGTAAACGCTCAATACCTGACTGGCGGGACTGGCCAGGAGACAAAACTGGGATAATTGCAAACCATTTCATGGCTTCAGTAATCCTATTAAAGCGGTTTTGTCGCAGCTCGTAAATGACACCAATGACACATATTTGCGTCTGCTGTCTCTCTGCTAGTGTCTCTGTACGGCCTGATGACGTATCGCTGGGACATTCATCCACGGGCGCCACTGAAAGCAACTACAGGATCTCGGTCGATAACGTACCGACACTGTTGACATAGGGAATGGTATTCAGGAGCAATGGACACTGGTGTTATACAGAAATGAATCATTGAACTATTTTTCCTCTTCCTTCCTTGTCATTACAATACAATACTCGCAGAAAGTTATTGAGAATGTTTGAGGTAAAATTTACAAGTGGCAGATGTTCACTTTTAACCCTGACTACCATCTTTTACCTGGACTATATCGTGGGTGCTTGCGGACTATTATTAAAAATCTTGAAGGTCCTCTTACCGGCGACTATGGTCAGACCCTCCATAAAATTAGATTTGCAACATGTTCAATGTGCCACGTTTGCATTGTGACGTAAGGGTCCCTTATTCGACAGAATGATTCGAAATTGAAATAAATAATCGGCCTAGGCAGTATACTGATACGCAGAGGGTTAATATGCGATGATTAAGCCAGTCAGGTAGGAAGGTTAAGGAATTTCGGCTGGAACGCAGAAACTGAAAAATATAACCTGCAAATTTCCACGAACGCTTACGCCGTTAATCATTTACATTAATTATTTAAAAGAATGTCAATGTAGCAACCAAATATCATGCTGTTGCTCTGTTTGCCAATTGCACAAGATTCTTGAAGATCTTTCAAACTGTTTATCCTGCACCGATTAGTCATACTGAAGTGTTTTTAAGTCTACAAACCAATTAGATTGTAGATACGTCAAGAACATTGCATTCTACACTTCATTTATATAAAAAATATTCCTCCATACTTTACGGCAATGTAATGAGTGTCCGTACTTAACCGCAAAAAAGCGTACTGACGTATTTCCAAAATCTTAATGGCAAAATATTCCACGTGTTTTTCTCAAGGAGTGGCGCAGTAATAAGTTCCTGTGTAAAATGCACGCGCATGCAGCCTAACCTAAATCCACGAGTAAGCAGATATACGCGGGAGGAAGAATTCAAAAAATATGAAAAGAAATTAAGTATAGATTATACAAAATGAAATACAGATGAGAAACGTGCTCTTTGCAATGGGAAGAAAAAGCATGTCGGCAATACTACAGTAGCTAATAAGTATGAATAAAGAACAAAACTTACCGGCATGCGGCACGAAGCGCGGGGCGTTACTTGTAACTACAGTGTTGTAAGGCTGTTGTGAATGAGGTACGCCAGGTTGGTTAACGTGCTGCTGTTGCTGATGATGTTGAGGATGTTGCTGGTGGTGATGGGACGGGTGGTGATGCTTCCCTTTGGTCGGCATGCTCATCGCAGGCGTAGCCCTCCCTTTGAGCTATCCGCTACCTTGAAAGCTTGCCAGCCACGGCCCACTGGGGTCCTCATAGGGAGGTGATTTGTCACGATAACGGAAGTCGAACACAGCCCAATCACTGACCACCTTCGACGTATAAGAAAGCTCTAGGTCTTCGGACAGGAATACCTCGTGTCTCGTACCGCACCAACAGTGCACAAATGGCAAACAGTGTCGAGCACCTCGCTATTGGCTTATGACTGTCTCTACCGTGGCGATATCTTGCACTCTGACTATATTGCCTTTTTGCTTTCTCTCTCTTTCACTCTTTTCCTGGTAGCTGCTGCTTGGTTATAGATTTGCTCGCTCACTTACTGACTGCTGATTCACTTTCTCTCTCTCTCTTTCTGCTTCGTACCACTGACACTCGTTGTCTTACTACACCTCTTCTTCTCAGTGTCTCTCTCAAGCTGCTTTCGCAGGGTTACTGGTAATTAACAAACACGCCGATTCGACCACGCACAAACTGCGTACAAAATGTTCATCATTCTTCGCGATTAATATCCACCAAGTTCTTGACAAACGGCAGCCGGATTGTTTTCTAACGAAAAAAAAGACGTGCACGCATTGAACGACCGGACGCACGCCTCCTCTCTCGCTAAGGATTGCACTCAACTCGACACGCTAACCACGCTTACCAACTAACCTCAATGATTTCCCGCTCTGAACGAGCAACAAGCTCCGTTCACAGTAGAACGAAAACCAACACTGGTTGGCATGCGTGTTCTTTTATTTTTTTTAGGTTTTTTCTCGAGAAATCAGGAAAATTGTATGCGACGCAAGTTTCAGCAATTATTCATTTTGAATTGCGATACTTTAAAGAAATTAGGATGACGTGGTGGTGTAGATAACAATGTATGATTACGATGTTTTGTATGATGATAGCTTACGAAACTGACGGTAATCTCGGGTAAGGCGTTACCACTCAAGTATTTGAGTATTTAAAATTTGAACAAATTAATAACAAATTGTCTTAATAAATAATAGGGCGAATAGAAATTTCAAGAGACAGTATGATTAAACTAAATGCGTAAATGTCTGGCTGGCATACGAGTGCAAGGCCGTCGGTAAAGCTTGTACTAAATAACATTTTTTTAAATATCCGTGTGACTAGCGTCGTGTATTATACTCTGAACGTTATTGTACGATTGACCCAGAGACAACTTACGGTATTAATGAAAAAGATTTTTTATTATTGTTACGCGTTCTCGTATGACGCTCACTTCTTAATGAGTATGACCGTCATATTTGAAAAGACCCGCGTTTATTTCGATGACTTGCTCGATAGGATTGGGGATAACGATAATATCGCGTCATCATACTGAAGATATAATGGCAAATAAACAAGGAATATTTGTTGGCCTTACCAGCTGACGAACACTCCTTCTACCTTCATTTTAGTATAAATGCGATCGAGAAACTAATGTAATTACTAATCCTCTGTACCTAGATTTAATTTTTGTATTAATAAAGTGGCAAGGTAATTCTTACCCGTTACTATGATGACTTAGAAATTACCGTTTTGACAAGTACATCCGAACGACGTAACATTCATATTTTCCTTTCAACACTTCCGTACCGTGTCGACTGGCCACTTTAAACACGAGAACCTTACAGTATCTTGGCATGTAAAATTGTTTTGAGTAACACAATACCGGAACCTGTGATATTACTTTTGTAATTATTATAATTACACCACGCGTGTCTCTACGCGTTTTCACTTTTGCAAGAGCTACGCATGCACTGCCATCTGTTTTCATTCTTAGTCACTATTGTCGGTCGGTTCTATCACTGCTATCCTACCTGTCAAATAAAAAATAATTTTATCTTTTTCTAGAAAATCATATTTTGGGGTCTTGAAATCATGATTCTTTAATGACGTTGTTGTACGATTGCGTTTCTTGTAACGAGGTACGTTGGAGTCTCTCTAATTCAAAAGATTCTTGTTAGTTTTTCATGCTTATACCGGGTTTCTGAGCAACCATGAGCTCTCATGGAAAAGTGGAGACAGATAGACTCAAGAAGAATCTTGAGGAACAACTTGATAGACTCGTGCAACAGTTGGAGGATCTGGAGGAATGCAGGTACACTTTCGAAATGGATATTTTTATCTGGTGGTAATTATATAGCTTATGTAATTCGTTCGTTACAGGGATGAATTGGATACATCCGAGTATGATGAGACTAAGGCAGAGACTATGGAGCAACTTCGAGAATTTAGTGATAGCTTACAGCGAATGATCTCTGGAGATATGACTTTAATTGATCAGTTGGGAGCTATGCAGCTCGTACGTTTTCCTAGTTTTGCTCTGTTTGTTGTATGTAACTTCACTTTCACTAGGTTTTTTAAAATCTTGGAATATAGGCTACCCAGGCAGCAATCAGTGCAGCATTTAAAACACCAGCAGTGATCAGAATGTTTGGTAAGAGGGAACCAGGACAACTAAGGGAACGTTTGACCCATATTGAGAGAGACTTTAAACTGGGAAAGATTTCTAAAGAGGCCAGTGACCGACAACGTGGTGAAATTTTGAGTGCTCTCAGACAACTTGGAGAAAAGTTGGAACAGTCCGAATTACAATTATTGGAAAGGTTGTCTCTAGGTAATGTGGAAGCTACAAGTTTTATACAAGTGAGTGAGAGCACAGAGAAAGGGCAAATAGCATTGGCCATGGCCAGTGAAGAAGTGAGAGCTAATCAGGGTATGTGAATTTTTTCAATGAAAACTACTTTAAGTTTACCCATATGCATCACTGAGCTTTTCTATTTTAAATGTACTTGAAACATTTTCCACTGGAAAGTAACTATTGCAAAGTGTTTTTGTATTCATCCATTATACATTAATATTATTTTAAATGTCTTCTTTAAGTATGTGGAATACCTAATAAATTGAAGAACAATATACATTTATTTCGATTTTTGTGCAATATATGTTAAAATGTTATAAAATAATAGTAGTATAGTACATTGTAATTTACTTTTTCACCCGGTGTTTTTATTAAATATAAACAATACAGATGTGCAACAGATTTGTTTTTTAATACAGCTCTGTGTAACACTGATACTAAGATTATAGGAGTCAATCAAGTCAGAGTAAAATCCTGATGTGGTATGCAAATGCGAACTACCAATTTCCATCCCTGAAGAAACATAGCATTGTTTGTCGAAATACAAATATACCTCTTGAAATCTAATTTATTCGAATCGGCCATATGGATATTTTAATGATAATATAATAATATTTTACAGGATTATAGTACACGTCACAGTCACGATATTTTCAATGTGTTCGCAACGCTTTTTACACCGTACAGTCTAATAATACTCACACATCTTACACGTTATAAGGCTGACCTCTCATTTCGTTAACTTTTTATTATATTTCAAGTTAATTTACCAAATTTAACAACAAAAACATAAATACCACTGGCAGTGCAATCAATGATACTTTGTGACAAGTTAGATTCATCAGAAGTAATACAGATAGATGGTGGTATTCTTCATCTGTATTAGATTCTGACTGCATTCGATTCATGAAAATGGCATTTTTCACAATTTACAATGGCAAAGTATCGCTCATTGCTCTGTATACTGTCCATACGTTAACAGAAACAGAAAATATATTCAGAAACATTCAATTATGACCAGTTGGTATTCCAGCTCGTAGATATACGAAACAGATGGTCAATAAATTATGTTTTACTTTACAAGGTGCCCCTTTTCATTGGAACGTGATCTTATTTATGAAAAAACGAGTGCAAGTATCAAATCCTCTCACACCTACTACAATTTCCCTCTATTGATATAAGGAAAACATTACAATTGACGTGGAGCTATACAACTGCTGATTGTACAGAAGATGAATTATACTAAGCGATTAATAATCCGGGTAAAAGTTATCAAATAGTAGTATTGCATTTAATGTAAGTAGTATATTCTGCCAGCACTGTTTCGATTAGTTCTCTACGGTATTCTATGTAGGTGCGAATTACCCTATGATTCCTTGAATTCGGAATGGCAAATAACGAATTCTCGAACATAAAAAAAGAAAAGAAGAAAAACCAACTCTATCAATGAATAGTAGCAGTCAAAATCTACTACAATATTACTTGACAGATGCACTAATTAAATTGAATATAAGAACACTTGCAAAAACATATTTACAAGTATATCTATGACTTACAGTACTAAAAAGATATCAGGAGTGTTCAAAGGGATCAAAGATTAAGCAAGTGTATTTCTAAAATTAATATAAAGTAAGACAGTCCCATGAAACAGATTGATTCAAAAGGATAAATGAATAGCAGACGACATTGTGATTAAGTTCTTTCACAATGAACAACAAATCGGAGATCCATAACAGTACAATAAAAATAGTATTAAGCAATAATTTTGACCTCTTGATAAATGTTTCTATAGGGTAAAGAGAGTAAGTGCTTTCTAGACAATATCTCAGAAAATCTAAATTTTTCAATCATAGTGTTGTCTTAATAGTAATTGATTTCAATACGGCGTTCAAGTAAAACGTAAAAACAAGTCGAAATAATATAGGATGTGTAGGGTGTACTGTTTTCGAAAAAAATAGAACAAAAAAGTCAGATCCTATACGAAAAGAATAAACGTGAGTAAACTATGATATTAATAATGAAGACATTATACCATATTATAGTATATCCATTTGTTTTCCGTATATTTCGGCTAAGAATGTTGGGTAAAAGAAAGATATAATCCACTTTAATAGTACTTATGATTAAAACGATTAAATTCTACTCACCTAGAGCTGGGAGTGAGAACAAATGCGATACATAATTCTCTTTCGGAGAGGATGAGGTACGCGCTTTTGACAGTCAGTGTGCTTGGAGAAATCGTACAAAGGTACTCGAGTTACGTGTCGGTATTATTAATGTATAAGGTGCTTCTACCGTAGGATTAACGAGTCGCCATTTCTCGTGGTCCAGTAATCCAATGGATTTTACTCTTCCGCTTGTCGTACGTAACACATGGTTAGCGCTTACGTCGACAGACTCTCTTATGTTCTCGTTGCCAATGTACCTGTTGACAGTCGGTGCTGCAGTAAGCAGTGTTCCAGCAGCAGTGATATATTGCCTCTGCCTCACAATTATAACACTGCAAAAAGAAAGGATGCGAATGATTATTAATCAATATTTATTGATTAGAGTACAGTTGAGTTTATATATAAATTTATCATGTTATCCTTACCCACTGCTTTTTCTTGATTTCTGATATGACCTGTTGATGCTTATCGGTGAGCTGCCGCATCTCTTTGGCGTGTTCGGCTTGCAGTCTTTCAAGCTCCTTACACTTGTCGAGCTCCAATTCACGACGAAGTTTCTCAAGCGCGGTGTTCGTCGGCTGATCCGATGTTCTACGTTCCCTCTTCACCTGGAAATTATCGTAAGACTTCCCCTGTGATGAATTTTTTTATATGAACGTCCTATACTGGTCCAGGTATTCTTATAAAATAACAAAGTATTCGTCTTATTTACCTTGGCAGGTAGAACTTCTGATTGAATTTGTTCTGTCTGAACCAGGACGCACTTCGACCTCGGTTCCTGGCTACTGGACGTTACCATATCCTCTTGGGAACCTTCCTTCTTTAAACCCTGAGGACACGTACTCGAGATCTCTCTCGCAGGTTCATCTTCGGCGACTGGTAAATACGGCACTTGTCTCTCCTCGCTTCCTGTCCTGCTTGTCGAGCCTTCCTCTTTGTGATTTGTGCCTTCCGCTCCTGACTGCATCTCAGAATTTCCGTCTGTACTTAGACGTTCTACTTTTACTCTTAAATCTTTGAAAACTTGCTTCGCCACACTAGGACTGCTCGGTGAGCTTTTCGAACCTGGTGATTCTATGTTTCGTATTTTTGCAGGTTTCGGACCGTCGTTGTCATCGAATGTGCATAAGTCAAAGTTTCCCTTTCCAAGTTTCATTAACAAATTCTGGTGGTGCTTCAACTCGTCAAACGCTCGATTCCAGGCGGATGACCTCTTGATCTAAGCAAACAAGATCTTATTATCATTCACGAGCTTCGTTATTAATTCATTATGATTTTGATATTCGGGTTTCTCGGAAGGGGAAGTTATTAATGCCCACTATCGAATGCATACCTTCATTTCTTTCCATTTTCCTTTTTCTGAAGGCTATGCAGAAACAAGTTGTTATAGAAATCAAAATCAGTTGATTTTTGGTTATTTCTAAATCAATTGAGTCTACGAGAGTAAAATATGGGTCTACGCTCAACCTGATTCAATGGTCTCAAAATATATGAATACATGAAGTGGATTTATAACACAGTATTCATTAAAGATTCTTATGATATCCCTAGGTTATTCAGATTACATCTACATACCTGTAAACTTTGCAGACTGACATTGATAGGGCGTATGAATAGCTTCTCAATATTTGCCCTCATATGATGACCACCGAAAAATCTGACGTCATATAAGTCATTGTTAACTTGCATGACCTTAGCTGGCCAATATGGGTATCCCTTTTGCTTGGCATAGACTAGCTGATGTGGAGGATCACAAGGTATACAGAACCACATCTTCTCCGCCTTTTCATTAGATATTCGATAGCAGTCGGCACATCGTCGTATTTCTTGAAGATCATAACAACAGTCTTGATACATTGTAACGCCCATCTCTGATATCACGCTGTGCTCTGAGTAATCACATAGGGAATCGGTCATTTAGCAAAATATACATATCTCGTGCGCCATAGGTGGTTTATGCATGGGTATAATAAACGCACCCACATTGATTCAGGGAATACCAAATGACTTACCACCATGATACACAATAATATTATGCAAAATATTGTGAGCATCTGCTTGGAATTCTGCAAGGTTCTTGTACTCTTTACGACTAGTTTTCGAATCCATAATGGCGAGATCCATGTGATTTTTAATTAATACACCAGGACGCCAAGCATCCTCTCCTTCGCTCACCCAGGTAGATCCCGAGCATCCTCCTTGAGGAGTGACCACTGGAGTATTATCAAATACAATTGTCCTGTTGGTGATCTCAGTAGGAAGTTTAGCCTTGAGATGTCCACAGGTAAAACGAAGTATATGATTCAAGTCCACCTTGTCATTATAGCTGTCGTTATTTATATGCTGTGAAACAACCGTCAATCGATTAATATTTTTATTATCGGAAACATATAATTTGTTGATCAAACTAACACACCTCACAAAAATTGCAGTACTTCAACTCCGGGTTAGCTGGAACGTGGCAGTTAGAATGGAAGACTCTGTGACATTGCTGGCAGCATTCGACTAATCCTGCCTCCTGGCACTTGCAACAATACCAATCATGTCCATCATCTTGGACAGGATCAATGGGGAGTCTATAACTCTCCTGTTCAAGACCATTCTTGGAAGGTGCTTTCTTTAAAAAGACTAAACCATCTTCGACAGCCTTATTCAGCTCTTGCTGCGCAGCATGTTCTGTTATACCATATACACGTGCCAAATGCCGTACAACCCTATCATTACTGGGTAAACTTCTTTGGTGTATGGTGATCTTTATGGCATCCCATATGCGCTGGGTCATGTAAGGATTGGTCCTGCGACGTACAGACATCTTATCCTTAGACGTACTGAAACTGAGACAAGAGAGATTATTAGAAACAATACTTTAAAGTTATAGCAAACAAATATCTCATCTCACAATCGGTCACGCCAGCATGCTTTGCTATCAAGGGATTAGTAATTTTCTTCCCTGCCCCTATATCTTTTCATACTTTACAGTTAAGAAAATTGTTGACTCAGCGATGAAAGACCCTCATATTCTACATGAAATAATGCCCACATGTCCGTTGTTACTCTGTTATACCCACATATGTCACCGGGACTTCGTCCAGAGTACTTGACACTACAAATCGAGGAATATTGTTAATAGTTACACTGTGCAATTTTGGCCAATAATCAATAGTGTTCTTGAAGAGTCATTTCTTGGATATACAGAACATAACACAGTCCAGCATAGACTTGTGAGATGCATTCAATTATATTGGGTGCTGCTGGTTACTCTTTACTGCTGTCCAGTCTGGTGACTTTAATAGTGTTAATTAGAAAGGGACTCAGACAGTATAAAAGAACTCCTATGTATGTACTTTCCACGTCCGACGTACTGAGTTCAATGTTTACAGCGATATTATTACTACTAAATCAGCTTAAGGTGCTTAATGGGATACCGTATAGTAGTGAGGTCAATGATACGAATGACAATCGCACATTGCTCCTACGAATGACAAACGAAGAAAGGTACCAAGAAGCGTTTCAACAGTTTCATAAAATATACAACAGCAATCAGTCGGATGGTGGGAATTTTAATTCATCGGCTTCATCGACATGCACCTTCAATCACGTTATTATGCATTACGCAATGTTTCTGGTACCTTTTGCCAATGCATTTCTATCGCTCTTAAGTTTCTTCATGCATTCTAACTGGGACATAACGTGCACGGATAACAGATGTTTGCAATTAATGGAATTGCAACAAAAGAATAAAAATAATACAAAACAGGATAGGAGGTTGTCCCGGGATTCTGTAACCAGAGAGAATATTCGGAGTACAGTTTTGAACGTCTGTAATGAAACGAAAATAACCAAATTAAAAAATGATAAAGGTAGTCTGACCAGTCTGAGTGTTATAAGCCAATGGATTGTGCCTGTACTCCTAACGGCGATTTTGCACTTTTCCAAAATTCAGGATATGAGCAGTGTGCGGGATGCGAAGGATACGGAATGCGTTTTCACTGTTAATTTTCCATTTGAAAACTGTTATGCTATAACTGATCCCATGGAGTTTGAATCATTATCATTGGAAGAGCACAGTACACCTGCGGATAACGATTATATTGGAAGCGATGAAACGCTCAGATTATCCAATCCAGATACTAAAGAAACAGATGCTGTTGTGTCAAGTGTGTACAAGCTTATCCAATCATTGATTAACGAGACAGAAGATAACTTTACTAGTGAAAAGTCCTCCGGTTACTATGATACCTCAGAATTGTGGAACGTCACAAAATATTTTGATAAAGACAAAGTCGAAAAAGGAGTACAGAGTCAACGATATACTGTTGTCAAGAATGATACGAGTCCTAGTGACACATCGATTTTAAGGGGCAATGAAAGTGTTACTGAGACGTCAGAAGATGATATTACATTAGCAACAATAACAGATAGCGATGTAGAGAAGGAGAAGGTTGAAGTAGAACTATTTGAGGATGCAATGAGAGAAGCTAATGCTAAAATCAATGCAGAAACTTCTACACAGATAGCAGTTGTCCAAGAGTTTCAAGAGAACATTATTGTAAAGAAGGAAAATGTAGATGCAGTTAATAGTGGAAGTTTATCAACTACAGAAAGTAAATTAGTAATTGATTCACATAAATCCAAAGATGAAATCTATGCAGATATTGTTAAACGTATTCAGAGTGTCACGTCAGAGTATAAAATAAAGAACAAGATAAGAAATTCCTTAAGTAATAACAAAAGACAAAATATTCAGAATAAGGTGAATGTATATATATTGGATGATCGACCTATTGCAGAAGATAATGTATTTTCATTTCAAAATGGTTCGCTGCTAAAGAAATCAAGATTGAATAATATTTTTTATGACTCTCATGGAGCTACAAGAAATCTGGACATGCCATCTTGCATGAAAAATCAGTGTTTCCTTGACACACGCTTTGTAAAAATATATTTACTTGGCCTTGTATTTTTTGTTTACTTTGTGCCAATATTAATATCCAGTATTTTGTATATTCGTGCTAAGTATAAGTGTCAAAGTATTATTGAAAAACTTGAATTAAATAATATTATGAACAAGATAACCATTGAAAATAAAGTTAAAGCACATTCAGAACCATTAACCATAGATGCATTTAGAAGTCGAGAAGTAAAATCAGGCTCTATCGCAGAGAGCAGTGAGCAATGCAATAAAAACCTGGGAGAATGTTCTCAAGCTTGGGCTGAAGTTGGAACCAGTAAGGATGATATGCAAACCCTAAGCTCAGTATTAGAACAAACTAGGAGCATGGAATCAGATGAATCTGATAAATACATGAGCATAACAAGAGAAACAACAAAAATACAGATGATATCACAAGTGTTAAGGAGGTCATTGATATTTGGTGTACTACTCTGGACTCCGTTATTCCTAGAAGTATTGTCCAAAGTATTTTTATGTGCAAGATCACCAGACTGGCTCATAAACATTGTATTCCTAATAGGCTTATCGTTTGGTATAGTAAGAAATTTTCTGAATCTCAATATGCTTAATATGCAGGGACTCTACGATGGCAACAATGAGAAGGAAAACAGTGTGCATCCATTTTCATAAAACAATCATAGGGCACAGAATTTCTAAATGTCAAGTTTCTTCAATTTGCAATCTAACAGTAAGCAAATGAGTTTTCGATTATGCAAACATCCCATAGGCTTAGAAATGTAACTGAAAAAATCTATTAAAGTATTTCCATTTTCTCTCTGCCTACAAAAAAATCAGAATTCTAAGTGACATAATGGGACCCTTGAAAGAGATGAAGAAGAAACTCATAAGATCCTTATCAATTTCCAAATGTTATCAGCACTTAAGTATACAGTGAAACGTTGACTATAAAATAATACATGGAGAAAGTGTCCTACCGTGCGTTCACGGTCCAAATCTCAAGAGAAAGTACCAACTGCTGGGGACAATCGATGAAACGAATCCGTTGAATAGGCGATACGCTGTCAATTCATGGTTTACTGTTTTATAGCGTAAACTAGACACGAAAACGATAAGTAAATCAACGCTCGACAGCTGTAATTGTCGCTGAGACACGCACGTCATAGGATACGAGTTTAACCTTACTCAATGCGCGCGCAGTCACCCGAAAGTTTGCATTTTTATAAGACGATGGCCGCTTATAAATTGCGAATATGCGTAATATTGTTTAATGGATTTAATAATACATTAATTGACTGTTGACAATATACAACTACAAAATTGGAACATATCTTTACACCTTTCAGTCTATGATATAAATTGTAATCATTGTTTGATTAAAAATTTGCATTGTTGATTTGTCTAATTGCTTACATAATATACATTATATATATATATATATATTTTACATGTATTACAGGTACCTTAATAAATCATAAGGCTGAATGTGATAATACATATCATAGTAATATGTAAGTTAAGTATATTTGTTAGCCTAAAAATATAAGAAATACTGTAATTTCTTCTTTCAAAGATTAACTTTCTGTATTATTTCGTGGAGAATGTCAGTAGCATTGTTCCATGGATAAACTTGAGCTTTCACACTTTGACCTTTTTCACTTTGCGGATCATTTAAAATTTTTATAAGAGCATATTCCTTTCTTGGAAATGCTATATCATTTTCTGATAAGCGCAGGATAGGACAGAGATCATTCCTACCATCACCAACATACATTATTTTCTCAAACTGTACTCCATCCTCGAATCTTTTTTTTATATATTCTTCCAAGATATGTCCTTTACATAAATTCTTCGTACTCAGTTTGCACCAGTCTTGTACATGATACATATCTATACACATCATACCATTCTCATTAGCCCAAGCAGGATTTGTGAAAACTTGAGCTATTAAGTTATCTAATTTCTTATGCTTCAACCATGTACTAATGAGCAGTGAATTTGAATCACTTATGATGATAATTTCACAATTACTGTCATGTAATTTATGAAGTAATGTCTCTATTCCAGCAACAGGAAGTATATTTTGTATGGCAGTGTCTATTTGACTAAGACTTATACCATTAGCATGAAGAAGTTCGAAAATTTTTCTCATATATGCAGTCCAGCCATCAGATCTATACAAACCTCTGACTGAATCAGGTAATTTCTCCTCTGGTAGTAATTTACGGACAACAATATCTGTATTGTCATCGACAATTGTATGATCAAAGTCAAACGCGACTAGAAGTGGACGAGACATCTAAAACATTGTTTAATATTATTGCAACAGCATAACTTAAACACTTATGTAAGTTCACATAATCTATGCATGAAAGCTATAGAAAATACATTGATATGATAATATGCATATTATATACAAAATTGTAATATTTACCTTTGATAAAAACTTCAAGTGCAACTGGGTCTTTAACAGCTGTCTTACAAACATAAATAGGTTATTTGGCACAATTCGTTTGACGTTTATAATATTGAAAGGTTAAGCTAGCGTATATAACTCTATTTTGGCAAACGTAGCTGGCTTATCACTCAGTGCCAAGCTCCTTCCAGTTTGTCTTTTACGGACAATTACTTAAATCACTATGATTATTTAAAGCACTCATCTTTAGGAATATAAGCGTACATGTAATTTAAAAAGCTTACCGGTATAAACAGTCCAAGTCCCCGCTCACTCTCACTTCTTCCTTCCTTTCTTTTCGGCTTCCTCCAATGACGAAATGTGCCAGCACTCTCACTTCAAAATCCGATTGTATCCAAAACTGCACAAAATATTTTAAAAAATAGATGCGTCTATTTCATTTTCAACCTTTTGATACGTCGAATTTGCAAGTTGGACATAAATCGAGATTACACCATTGGGTTACTATAGGAAATTAGATATTAAGTTTATAAAATATTCATAACTAAAAGGCAGAAGCAAAAGTTGATGATGTGTTACCTATTGCCGCTCGAATAAAATTATTGGTCCATTACTTATTAAACTACGCCATATTTTCTAGCTTTATGAATTTTTTAAATTTTTATTTCAAATAACAGAAGTAGCAAGAGGCACGAGTTACAGGTATGACGTCACACGACATGTGTTGTCGCTGGTTGTCGCAGTAATTTCAAAAATTGTAAATGTGGAATATGCTGAACTGTATCTTCAAACTTTCTATCTCTACAGATTCACGTGCCGTTGTCATTGTACATCATTTACAAAAACGAGTGGAATGCAATTTCATTTCTTGTCGTTAAACGTTTACTGCGTTTGTCAAACAATAGACAAACTGTTTTCTTAGATTCTTGTGTTGTTTCATATGCGTTTCAAGTTAAACTAATAAACGAATTTACGTTATAAAATGAATGCGAGACCTGCTGGATTTTCTGATGATGAATGCGACGACTGCGAGGGCTTTTCGTTCCCTGATGATCATCTCCCGGTAGGACATATATTAACATAACCTAATGCACGTAACCACCTCTGTTTGTGAAAAAATTAACAGTGTTAATAAACTGCCAGTTTATTAGGAAAGATTGCATAACAAGTGTCATTATTAAATTACAATTTTTGCGGCTTATTGAACCTTGCTACAATGGATTAAAATTTGCTATGTTTCATGATCCATTATGCTCATGATTGTTTGGATAGGACATTCCAGTGCAAGTGTCAAATGTCATGAAGTCCACTGCCACGAACTTACAAACTTCCAATGCTCATAAAGGGAATGTTTGCCAGGATGCACATGAACTGGACTTTACTCTGATGAATGCTTGCATAGCTGGACAGATTGAAGTTATTGATGAATATGCTCACTGTAAATATTAACAAATATTATTTTCATAGTAGATACATATTCAATTAATATTAAAACAAAAATATTTATATCTATATCAACAGTACACAACATAAATGATTTCCTATACACTGGATGGAGTCCACTCTTATATGCTTGTGCATCGGTTCAACCAGATATCGTTGAATATTTACTATCATTAGGAGCAGATCCCAATAAACACAAAGATGGCTTCACACCACTTATGGCTTTATGCAATTCAATAAAGGGAGCTAAAGAAAAATGTTTATGCTGCCTGTCCCTTTTAATTGAAGCAAGGGCTAATGTGGATGCAACTGGCAAGCAACGGTGATTATATTTATTTTTCCAATGAATTTTTTATATTAGAAAGTATGAATAATGAATAACCTTGTAGAGAAACTGCTCTAATGTACGCTTGCAAGATGAGAGAACCAGAAGTAATAGAAGAATTATTAAAACATGTAAAAGATATTGATGCGTGTGATAGCGAAGAACATACTGTAAGTGCCAATACAATAGTAAATTAAATAAAAGATGATTGATATCTCTTATTTACGAATTTCAGGCTTTATTCTATGCTGTTATTGCTAACAGAGTAGAGGTAGTACAACTTCTGCTGGAACATAAAGCTAATCCAGCACATAGGGATCGACGTAATCAAACAATCAGAGATATTGCAATGGCCAAAGAATTTGGAAAGGTTTATAAATTTACCATTGATCACTGTGAATTTTTCTTAGGATTGATCATTAATTTATGTTTGTCTGATGAACTAGATATTGTCTCTATTGGGTATAGAAGAGGAAACCTTTGATAATTACGAATCTAAAAAAATACTTGGTTGGCGCGATATGTTTCCTTCGCTATGTGCTAAGGATGAGGAAACTGTAAACCTTGATATTTCTGGAATCTTATACGGAATGGGCTTACGACAATATAAGAAACTATTTTGCGGGATGGATCTGAGAACTTTTCTGCAACTAAACGAAGATGATTTGATTCGGTTGGGAATGGATATCAGTTGTCACAGAAAACGTTTTATAGAAGATCTGCAGAAGTTTCATGTGAAAAAATGGAGTGTGCAAAGCATTGGGACTATCAAAAAGTCTTTACCATACACGTAAGTCCTTATTATATGCTGATTAATCTAGTATTGGAGCACTTGACTTGACGTTCTATGTTCTTTAGAATCTACGATGGCGTTGTATCACTCGGCAATGTGGCCAGGCAAATAAATGTCATTGGTTCAAGCTTCCAATATATCAAAAATGGTTTACAAAGAGTTAAAGGGAACAATGCCATCATTGCGAATGAGAAATTGGATTACAATGAGAATCTTCGAAAGACACAGGAAACCCTGAAAATATTGAAAAAAGAGATTCACCAAGTAACGACTCTAGCCGATAAGGTAAAACGTAAATCCGCCATTCACAAATCCTACAGAATATCTAAAAGTGGCTTTTACATTTCAGATTGCCAAAGAGAATAATTTAGGAGTACCTGCAACGTATATTTCCAAGAAAAAGAAAAGGTACAATTGGACTATAATTTTGAGTGTAACTTTAATGGCGGGAATGTACTTATCGAAGACAACTCACATACAGAAGTTATGGAATGAGTAACGAGGCCATTCTAAAACACAAGATTTTCTATTGGGTTTATCAAGCTATTCCGTTATCGTGATTTACTATTTTCTATGTAATATTAGTTTTATTGTGCCATTCCAGGGATATATGCTTAAGTCAATGTGATACTTTCTTGTAGCTGCTTTATATTAAAAGGAATAAATAAGATATTTAAGAAATATTTCCTCTACTCACCAAGCATATCATTAACGATCTCCAAGGCTGGCTAGTTTCATCATAAGTGGAAACAGTGGATGAAACGATGGCAGATTTTTATGTCGTACAAGAGTTTGATAACGTTGAAGTGGTCCACTGCTCAATGCCAGTCGTTCACGTTCACTCGTGTGATTATCCATCCAGTGGGATAATCTACTGATGGACCATCCAGCACTCTGTAATAGTTACAAGGTGTATAATTTATTTGCAGTATTTCAGCATGAAGCTGTAAAAACAGAATGGTTACTTGGTGCGGAGATGGTAAATCAGACGGTGCTCCAGAAAATAGATGTAGAAGAACAAGAGAAGGTGGCACACCACCTTCGCCTCCACCTTCCAGAACCTTTTCCACCATATCCTCTGGACTTAGTGGTAAAAGTGACCTCAAAGCTCTTAGTGTTCTATACTGTTGCTGCTCGCTTAAACCTAATTGGCCTCCTCTGCACAATGGTGTTACAGCCACTTCCATCTGAAATGAAACTCGTCATAAATTTAATGATATCGTTTAATTTTTAAATAATAATAATCTACCTGGATAAAGTCTGCGATGAGCTTAGCTCTACCGTAGTCCGTAAGCGGTCTCAGTAGGCAAGCGTGTCGTACAAAGAGTTCAATACATCGTGATACAACGCTCTTACAACTGAAAGAGATCATGTAATCATGATCAATTATATATTTGTACAAAGAATTGTATAAGGAAAAACTTACCATTCAGCTACAGCTGTTTGATTCTTGTAAGGTACCAGGAAAGTATTTACACAACGTAAAATGAAACCTTGGAGTTCTCTCATATATAGGGAACATCCAATCTCCTTGCCAAGAGGACTGGCAGTTCTATGAAAAGAATTTTAATATAAACTTTAATGAAAGACACTAGAGCAAAGAGTAAAAGTTGAAGAAAACTGACTCTCGGAATTCTGGATCATCGTGCATGGTAAGTATAATGCTCTCGATGGCATCATTGACAGATGCCAATAAGGGTGTCAGAATATTCTTCGTTACAACGTCAATTTGTTCAAGCGCTGTTGCAATGATAGAAGCTCCTTCGGCTGGCAAACTACCAGCCAAATTTCCAACAACGCGACTAGTTTGCGTTGATAAGTAATGAAGAAGATTGGCCAAGGTCACATTCGTCTGTTGACCTGGTGTAGGCGCATCTATCACCTGACTTGCTTCTCCATCAGTTATCAATGCCTGCTCGCATTTTAAACAGAACAAGCGGATAGCTTTGCCAACGTTACGGGCGACTACTGTTGATAATCCTTCGTCGACGAGAGATACACTCAGTTCACTAGATATCAATATTTAGTTGTTTTAGAGTTTGTGGATCTTTGTCGATTATTATGTGATGAAGAAATTTTAAGAACCTTGCCACGGTGCGGATTAGACTGTCGATGTCATCCTGACCAGGAGAGATATCACCGGAGAACATTGTATGCACCGGGTCCAAGAGTCGTGATACAGAACGAGATAGATATGGATTCTCAAAGGAAGATATTACATTCCGGCTGAAAGAAATGAAATTTTAATGTCTAGGTAATTCTTAATAAATTGATTTATGTTGCGGGTTCTTACTTTATCGTGTAGGTACCAATCGCTTGTGGACGCTCTTTCAAACGTTTACTGAGATCTAAATAAATGCGTAGAAATTTTGGATACTCGCCCTCCAATGCCTGCTTCACGAACGACGATGCTGTGTCAAGTCGAAAAGTTTAATTTTCATACAGTAAATATTAGTATTAATTAGAATTCACATGACTTACCTTGTGATCGTTCAAGCAGGACTTTAGCCAGAAGGGTTGTTATCTTACTCCAAAATGTTTCCGATAAATCGTCAAAGCCTTTGGCATGGTATTCTAGTAATATTCTTTGTAACAATTCAATCTGCAATTAAGTATTTATTCATATTGTATGAAATTTATAAAATCGTATTGTGATTGTGTGAACTCAGTTCTTACTTGAATACATTGAGTATAAACAGAATCTTGGAATAGTCGTTCCAAATTGGCCCAGAGCTTCGTGCGTAAATTTCCTGAAGAACCTGGGGATGGTAGTGTTGCTCTTCCTGGACCTCCTCTTTTTATATCCTGATTTGTTGGTAGCGAAACCTCTAATGCTTCTCTTGCAACTTTTTCTACTTCAGACAATGCTGATGTCACTGTCGTATCTACAGCTCCTTGTAGCACACCCAGATTTGAAAATACCTGGACTGCAGTACCAACCTGTTTGTTAAGTTTATTGTTCCATTTTATTGATACAATAGATTTAGACAATGATAAGTTTGCACAGTAGATACCTGGGTACGGTCAGTAGATTGTAAGCCCTGAGTCAATGTGTGTGTTGCTATTCTCTGAACTGTTGCCCTGTGAACTTTTATTGCTTGCTGGTCATCAGCAACTACATCGAGGCCACTTAAATCTACATCTGACATTAGTTGTTCTAAAAATTTAAAGAAAAATGTTATTATACCTTACAACTAATAGCAATTTCTTTATATGAAATTTAATTATCTGTCCTATAGGTAGTATTAGGTACCTAGCTCATGTAGACTATTAGCAGCTTTCACAATATCAGGACCAGATGAACAGGTGTTCATTTGAGAATGCAGTCGTCTTGATAAGTGCTGCATTCTAGATACTCTTCTAAGAAGATCTGAGGTTTCATGGAGCCTTGACAGCATTATTGTCTGTGTCTCTATTCTGTTAAATGGCTCTACAATTTTACCACGTAAGCGTTCAACTGCAGAGAGTAAACTCTAATAATAGAAAATATAAATAATTATATTAATGAAACAAACAGAACCAAGAGAAAGCTAATTGTTCTTGTAATTAATGCATTTTGAAATTACTTGTACATGAGCCTGCATTATAGATAGGACATCTTCCAATTTCTCAACCCACGTTGCTTGAGATAACAAATCTTCATGATTTGCAAGCACCTGTTTCTGCAGTTCAGTATCCAGAACTGCTATCGCTATATACAAAAAATTACACAATAGCATAAAGTATAGATTTCAATTTTTAGTCATCACTTAAGAAATCTCTTATTTACCTTGCCCCAATTTATTAAGTTGCTGTGCCACTGATAACACCTGATTGACATTCGATTGCTTTGCATCACAGCTAAGGAATTGTTTTAAAAACTCTGTCAAGAAAAAGTACAGATATCTAGCAATGTAATTTAGAATCGATATATTTTATAGCAGAAAGTAAATGTTTTCGATTTTAAAACTTACCATCATTTTCTATACTTTGCCAATCAACAATATCTCCCATTTTGTAGGTTAAATACTGTATAACATTCTATGTGGCACTTGTCAATTTTACGGTTCAGATTAGCTTAGATTGTGCCGTCACACGCAACAACCTCTGCGTCTATAGTTTTCAAGGAACGACTATAGGCAACTATGAGCCATCTTTTCACGCCTACTCCAAAACGAATACATCTCTAGTGGGAATTCAGCGTGAGGATGGTGACAGTCTCCGCCTCCCACGGTAGATGAATAATCCCCGGGAAGTGTCAAGGGATCGTCTACGTTGTTGACATTTTAAATTACATGAGTAAATGGTCGTTAATTTTTGTAAAGTAGCTGAAAAAAGTGGAATGAGGACTGAGGGGTACCAGTTCTTAATGATGAGTTCACCAATTTCAGTGAATAACGCTGGGGCGAGTTCAGGAGCACCTGGTATGGAAACCGTCGTAGCAGTTGCACTAGGTGCACTAGCAGCGGTATTTCTCGGGGCACTTCTTGTTCTCCTCGTTATTTGTCGACGACAACGATATTACTATGTAAGTTATATTTATTGTATTGTTGTCGGAATTTAATAACAATCTTGTATACATATTTTAGAATCAAAAAGATTCTCAGGACCTGAACTCTGATCTTCTCGAGGGAGACAATGATCTTGGTCTTGGTTTAGAAGCATGGGAAGGAGAGGAATGGCTTGCTGGAGCTGAAAGGTACAATCACTGCTCACAATATACAATATTACAGATGATTATTTTCTTATTGTAATACAGATGGGTGGATGATGCTACTGGTCTAGCTCCTCCTTGTATAGCAGTTCTGAGATCCTGCCACTCACTAGCAGCGAGTCTCACTGCCATTGCTGGAACTGTTAATAGTAATACAGTACCCCTTGAAATAGTTGACGTAACTATTATACTGATTGATATATAATCTATTTGATGTAATTTGTGACTTTCACAACAATTTAACATTCCTTTATAGGTTGCCAGGCGTATACCACCCAGAGTAGATGATGTAGTACGTAGTCTGTATCCACCACTGGATGCAAGGCTCTTGGAAGCCAGAGTTGCAGCCCTTGTTTTGGCAGTCACTAATTTGGCACTGGTGACAAAGCATGGTGTGCCTAAGAATCAGGCACGAAAACTGGCCTTCATTGATCAAGCACTTCATGACATGGATTCCCACTTGTTGATTTTACGAGATGCAGCATTGGCTCAGGAAGCAGCATGTTCAATCCCAGTGTCCACTTCGGTGTAAAGTCTCAAACAAAAACAACCAAGTGGATGCATATTTGTAAGTTGATTCCCCAGTTTAAAGTATCACTAGTGGATTTTTTTTTATACCAGAGTGATAAGTGTTCTAATCACTGTATACACGGCACATTGTCATGATGACAGAGGAAAATCGGTTTAGTATTGTTATTAATTCCGATATATATAGTTAGACAAGATTGCATGGGACATGTAAGATAGTCTTATTTTTATATTGTTATACCTTGCATACTACACAGTACACATAGTGTTCTTTTGTATAAAATGAACTTCTTGTATCACGATTTTTGAGAAGACAAACTATCTTTTTATGCATAAAACATAAAGTTTTTACACTGTTTCTTTCAACGGATTATACCGCCGTGCAAAGAATCTCATAGTATAAAATACATTTTATAATAAGAAATCTTACCAGTTCGGTAAAACGTTACATAACGATGACGATTCGTATAGAATGTCATCGTGTCTTCCACATTATAACAGCATTATATTCATGTTTGATGTAAGATATTTGTTAATTATAACATAAATGTATATAATATATATTTGATATACATTATATTTTGAAAGAATCAAATTAACGAGAGGTGCCATCGCTAATCTCAAATTTCAGTAAAGCCATAGTTGAAAAAAGAATTGCGACAAATTTATTTTCCTTACTCCATTCAGTGTATTTCATGAACATTTAGCAATTACCTTAAATTTTTTATCTGTATAATTTCGTGACAATAATCGTATGATCCAGTAAAGTAGCGTGACAACGCGAGTGTCCTGAATCGGCAATATCTGTCAGCGTTTCGGATATTATTGATTTATCATTTAAATAAATTAACTAAGTAGGTTTCAAACCACCATTACGCTACACAGCAGCGCACTTCGAAACGGTGTTGGCGGTTCAATTCTTGATTATATTTTCTACAGAGAAAGAGGAGAAGGAGGAGGAGTGCGATGGAAAATGGGAAAAAGACCCGAAGGACATTTAAAAAATATTAAAACACCCGAAGAATTTATTGGCCTCGACTTGCAAAGTCCTTCTGTCTCTTCTGATTATCCTTTAACACCTTATTCTTCAGATGTTCCTTATAGTCCAAGATACCGCCCTGCCACTTGGTCACCGTTTCATTCTCACACACCCAAATTTCTTCTGCCACCTATTTTGATACAAAATTTAATAATTTTTAATCTATCGTCTTTCTACCTCATACATAGCATTAACGGAACACTATGCCTCAGAGGATAACATACCTGATTGATAAGTCTGAAGTCGTGAGAGACCAGCACCATACCGCCATCGAAATCATTGATAGCATCTGCAAGAGCGTCAATTGTTTCCATGTCAAGATGATTAGTAGGTTCGTCCATGAGTAGCAGGTGTGGAACTTGCCAAGCTAACCAGGCAAATACTACTCGGCACCGCTGACCGTCAGAAAGTTGACGAATTGGACAGACCTGAACAGAGATTAATTTACGATTAAAAATATTATATCAGTGGATAGATCTCAAATGGTTCCATTCACTCAAGAGTATCGAAATGTTGAGAAATTATAACTCATAGATTAATTGTACCTGTTGACGGCCCGTCAATCCGTAGCGGCCAATGATCTTTCGCATTTCTTCACGTTCCTTAACGTCAGGAAAAGCCCTCATCATATAGTCTAAGGGTGATACGTCTAGATCCAGCAGTTCATGCAGATGCTGGTGGTACCTTGCTATACGAAGATGGCTATTCTTACGGATCATTCCGCTACTTGGCACCAGCTGTAGAAATGTGATTGGATATTATACCCGGGATATTAAAGTAGGTTTGAGTAGTGTGTTAAAAATACTCACGTCACCGTAGAGCAATTTAAGAAGTGTACTCTTTCCAGCTCCGTTTGGTCCTACTAGAGCGAGTCTGGTGTCCAGGTCAATACCGAACTCCAGATTCTTATAGATCCAGGGCGAATCGTCTGTGTAACGGAAACTGACATTCTGCACCATGATGACCGGAGGAGGAATTGTTCCACAGGATGGGAAGTAGAAGTTGAGAATTTTATCACTAGTGACCTTTTCTGTAAGGCCCTGGGCAACCATTTTAGCTAAAGTTTTCTCCTTGGATTGAGCTTGCCTAGCCAGCTTAGCTGATCCGTGACCGAATCGGGCAATATAGTTCTTCATATGCGCAATTTGATCCTGCTCCCAGTTGTATTGTTTAGCTTGATTTTCGAGTAGTTCCATTCTAGTCTTGATGAAGGCCTCGTAGTTACCAGTGTAATACTTCAATTGCTTTTTGTTTACATGAATAATATTGGTACAGATACCATTAAGGAAATCTTGCGAGTGAGATATAATCACGAGAATTCTTTTATAGGTCTTCAATTCTTCTTCAAGCCAGACACAGGCATCTAAATCAAGATGATTAGTGGGCTCGTCTAATAGGAGCAAGTGAGGTTTCACGTACAGAGCTCTGAGGAAAAATAATTATATTGTAAGAAATAGATTAATATAGTATGCAGCATTTGGAAATGTAGCTGGTGATTTTTACCTGGCAAGAGCGATGCGCATACGCCAACCTCCTGAAAAGTCTTTTGTTGGCATCCTTTGCATCTTAGGAGTAAAACCCAGACCATATAGTAAATGAGCAGCACGAGCCTCCGCCGTATCCGCAGCCATATCGTCTAATCGTTCATAAACATCCATAAGCTGTTCCTGCGCATCTTCTTCATCGCAATTGATTAGCTCTTCAGCCAGTTTTTCTAGACGGACACGTTCCTCATCGACCTCCATTACACACTCGAGTGCAGTTTTATTGCTAGCTGGCATCTCTCTTGTCAGATGGAAAATATCAATCTGTTCCGGAATAGGTACTTCGCGGTTCCCAACTACAGACAGCAAGGTAGACTTTCCAGAACCATTAAGACCCAATAATCCATAACGTCTACCACAATTCAATTCTAACATGGTATCTTGCAAGAGTTCACAGCCATGGAAGGTTATAGAGAAATTGGATATCTTTATATCTCTGCTACGAGGATGAGATGCCAAAGATCCTGTACACGAACGAGCCTCTGCATTGAGCCTGGCATCTGTTTCAAGCTTCAGACATAGCGCCTCTGTACAAAAATTATAAAAATTAATATTAATCAAAAAAAGTAAAAAGGATGAGACAGTATAATTATTACCTTCAGCACTAAGAGGTGTTCCATTGGTTCCATTTTGAACAGTTCCTGGAGCAGGACTCTGTTCCTTGCTATCGTCAGCAGATTTGGTTTGGTTGACTTGGCCAGCTTTCTTGTTGCCTGCTTGCCTTGCCTTGGCAGCCTCCTTCTTTTTTTGCTGCTGCTTTTTCTTAGCGTCGGACGGCATTCTTACTGTAATTTCATGTGAATTAACTACAGAGCCCCATGAGCTACTTTGATGCAGATGCCCGTTATGTAATACATGGAGTTGCTTGTCTGTCAGCTGGCACCAGAAATTACAAAAAAAATCATGAACGTGGACGTGATTGAAAATTCGAAATTTCTCGATCACCGTGTACAGCTGCTTACGAGAAACGTGCAACCTCCAACTAAGACAAACGATTCGCGGATTTTTGACTGTCGCGTGTGATCACATTGTAGGAAAAAATTGCGCACCCCCATGATATGTATGCAATGTACTATTAATAATGGTTATTTTTGAAAAAGTGGTGTAAAATTACCTAATTGTGCGCCAAAAATGTACGATCCGAACAAGATGCGGGCTCACGTGTACGGACAAAAGGCAAAGCCGTCAAATCGAGATAGAATCGCCACTGTGCATCACAGATGGCACTACGAAATCAGTGGAAAATTACTGGGTTTTTCGCGGGAAATTCTAATTTCATACTTATTCATTGGGCTTATGCCGAGTTCACAGTATTTATTGATATTTCTTGTAAATCTTTTCCTTGGCATTTTTTGCCGGAATTTCCAGTTAAAAAAACAAAAATTCAAAACATACGTATTTAAACACAATAGTCTTCAAAGTAAATATGCACTGATAAAATGAGGATCGTAAAATTCGAATTATAACAGAAATCCAGGATATCTTTTTAACGGACTCCACTTGCTCCTCAAAATCAAATTAAATTATATAAACGAAATCTGCTAATGTTATAACTCTCTTTTTGTGACACTACATGATGAAAATTGAAGAATGGGTAATCACACATTGAATAACATACTTGCTCTGTTTCACTCCTGAATCATATAAAGTATCTCATAAAATTTGCAGACCCACTGTACACCCCGGTATCACCGTTCGTATCTCGAGAGCGAAGAAGTAATACGTAAAAATAAGAAAAAAAACCACAAGAGTATCCTCTATTCTAGGAACACCTACGCTATGCATAGATAATGGTCCTAAGAAATCAGAAACTACAAGACACGTATCGATGCGGAAAAATGTAAGAATCAGTCATAACCACATAACATACATAACCTCAAAATTTTTCTGATTGCGTTGAACGAAGCAACTGAGCGCGTTAAGCGTCGTTTCATGCAATATTCTATAAGATTCAAATAATATCTTAAAAATCATTTCTGTCAAGCAGCCGGTAATGAATAATTGTGAATAACTTCGAACGGAATATGGATGAATGAATGACCATAGATACATAAAGTGCATCTATAGCTGAAAGAAGAAATGGATTTACGCCCATAAGCATCCAAAGTCCCCGGTAGTGGGAGTCGCTTAATTACCCCACGTTCCTACCTCCTGCTATCACAGGGCGTAGTATTTCGTAGTACGTACTAGCGAGGGCGTAATACGTCGTACGGTGGTAGGTGGTTCAGTCGCCCTCTTTCGCATGTAGTATCTATATATGCATCTGTAGCGACCTGGTAGAAAAGTGTACACGTATGCATCTCCATACATATGGGTACATGCACGTAGGTATATGCAACTTTGTAAGAGCTCGCGTGTCAACCACCGTAAACCCCTTCGAGTCCTGTGAACCTGTATACCCACACCAGTCACCTCCTAGACCACGGCCCGTCTGGAAGGGGTTGAAAAAAGGTGTGAATGCCGGACGGCATTCATTCAAATGTGGTCCAATCGCCGTGTAGCGCACTGTAGAGAACCAGGGCCGACTTTGCAAATATGTTGGATAACGTTGGGATTCTGTTAAGGATTGTAAATTATTACAGTTAAAGTAAAGTAAAACTCTTCATCTTTTAATGGGAAACTTTTTGTGCATTGTAGTATATGTAAAAAATTAGGTTTGGGTTACACGGTTTAATAGATTTTTAATGGAGTTAAATTTAGGGGTTGTTTTGTATGTAGTGGGTGAGGTACGATGAAAGGTTTGTTGACCTCACTTTTTTATTCGTTCCCTTGTTGCAGGATGAACTTTTCGTTGACTAGCGGTTCGGATGTTTTTGAAAAAATTCATTGGCGGAAATCGATAGGGGTGGACAGCTCGACCTGAAGTAGGCCGCTGAAGTCCCGAGGGGTTTGACAGCACGGAATTAAGATCTGGCTTGGTTCGGATGGCTCATCACTGTGGATCTTCGCCATGGTCCCCTTGTTAAATTATTAATATGGTCTTTTTTTTATCCTTCTTTAGCGTCGTACGCTATACGTCTTGTGGTATTTTGCCACCCCTATTTACCCGTCACCCAGCTTTGACACACAGGTACATGAAGACGCACGTAATCGCACGCGATTGGATTCTGCAGGGTGAGGCAAGGATATTAAATAATGATGGTAAAAATCATGGTATATTACCCGAATACTTCATAGCCCACTGTGCAAAAACAACTGTGGATTGTGAATCGGTTTAAAAAAATAATTATCGTAGTTAAACTATAAAAAAACAATTGCAAGAAAAAGATATTCACGAATACCAGCTTGTGATGCGACATCCCAATTCTTAAGAAACACAGTAAACTTCAACATAAAAATATATCTATCCAAAAGGAGCGTATATATAAATCCAAAAGTTATCAAATCCTCCGTGAGAATAATAATCAGTAAGGCAGGTGTTGGCGCACCCTGTTTTCACGCGCGTAGATTGATATAAAAATGACTGTATATAAGCCCATATATCTTGTTTATATGAGCAGAGACACAATTTGTTCTCGCGGCCCCCCAGAGGACCAGGAAAAATCACCAGGATAACAGCAGGCGCAAGGGAGTCGAACCTAAACCAAGATCAACCTGATCGCAGTGGTAGATACATACAAGAAACATAAGAGCCAGACAACCGGGCCAATAATTTCCGTTTGAATTAGAGTTGCGTGGCTCAGTAAGTGGAAAGAGTCGTCGTTGGCGGAAGCAGGGCTGGCGCACCCTGGACGCACACCCCGAAGAATCTCCTCCAACTAAGGCCTCAACTACAGGCACATAGGTCGTGGTAGAGAGAGAGAGAGAGAGAAGCGAATACATGTAGAGAAGAGAAGAGGATAAAAAGCAGGGAGAAATAAAGAGCGAGAAAGAGGAGTCAGAGAGAGAGAGAGAGAGGGAAAGCAGATGGTGAGGAAAGGTGGAGAGAGGTAGAGGTAGAGAGCGAGAGAGAGAGAGGGGGCTAACACACGGAAAACAAGTCCGAGCCTGCGCCCTTCTGCCAGACAAGATGTCCGCCCACGGTCTTCGGGGTTGAAGGATGCGGCGCGGCGTCGAGCTTGCGAATATCAGAGCTCGAGTACTGAGCGAATGCCGGGTTGGCCCGCGAGCCACGAAAGAACCTTTCGAAACGTTCCGAGGCGTCGGGACGCCGGGCGTACAATAATAAAACGCGTGTGTACACTAGGTGGCTGATTGTGCTCGTCTGTGCTCGCTGTGAGCTTCGAAAAGAGGAGGGCCGTATTGATTTTGAGGAAACGGCCGTAAGCGAGCCGCGAGAACCTGGCTCTCCACGCAACTACATACGAAATCCTGGTCTCCCGACGACGTTCTCCGAAGATCTTTCTTTTTTAATCCAAAGACCCTCCTCCGGGTCGCTACGATTACTTTCATTGTTGTTTCTGCAGTCGTGAGTGCCTCCAATAATTTTAGACTCTGTCAGATTTGGCCAGAGAGAGAGTTGCGAGCCTACCAAACCTTTGGTGAGTATCGTCGTTACTCGTCTTCTCAGTCTCCTCTCCTCTCTTAGAAATATATCTTTTATCGATTGCCAGGAGTCCTCCCATCCGGCGTAATATCGTCCTATCCGACTTATCTCCTGAAAAATCTTCGGCACGCTCGGAACGACGATCCATAAGGTTCTTTTTAAAGTCGTCAGGACCTTTGAGTATCTAGGGTTAGGGGAGAAGAGTGTTTTTTCTTTTTATGCGATTATTATTAAAACCGAATCCATCTTCGTTTTTTTTTGGGTCTTTTCCTTGACATTTTTATTTTATTCTCATAGTTTGTCTTGTTGAGATTTCTGCATATTAATTAATGCTATTTATATTACACTATCGTAGTAGGTTTTTATTTTTGAGGGTAGAGGCTCGTGTGGTCGTAAAATGGTTTGGGGGTATGAAGGATTTTACGTTAAGTGGCAAAGATAGTCTTTAAAAGTAATTTTTCATTTTTATATTGTCATCTTTATGAAAGGTCTGGACGTATATTTATAAGGGTTGCTTTGCCATATAGCTCAGATCCTTATTTTAGACGCAGCCCTACGCAATATCGACGTCTGTTAGCTTTGCTTAGCTTTATTCAAATTCCTAAATGAGAAACAAGTGTGTCGATGATTCATCGAGTATTTAGCAAGTAGCGGTTGCTGATAAGATTTATGAATAACTTGCTTATTGCAGATGATGACAGGCGGCAGATTCAAAAAACAGAATGAGGGAAACTTTTAGACTAAAGCCAAGCAGGGACCAACTGGCCCTTCGCGCAAGAGATGATTTTTAGAAGGTAAAAAAAAAGTGTGAAAAATACATTTATCTCCGTAATAGCGCTCGATATTTTTTTCCATAGATTGTAAAAAGCCAGTAATTCAGTTTGTCTGATAAGCCCGAAAAAAAGAACAGAAAAAAAGGGTACGGATGTTCGAGGGAACCCGTAAATTACACTGACGATGATTTTTATTCGTTCCTTGAGAGAAAAGGGACGAGTACAGCACCTTTCAAAATTGGCATCCTTGCCATTATTGTTATGATCACTGTTAGGACGGTCCTACGTCGTGGATCAGGAATTACACAAGGGTCGTTCCTTTGGGTCACATAGCTGTCCTCGTTTCTCGCCTCCAGTTTCCTGTTTTCGACTTAGGATTCGTCGCCGGGTCAAGGTTACATAGGTTGGCAGCCCTTTGCGGTGTGGATTTCATTGATTCTTAATGAACTACCTACAAGCCTTACTTACCATGGGGTATAATCAGTGACAGGCCTTTACTGTAATTCGAGAAGCGTGGATTGGCTGCGATTTACCCACGAATGTGTCCCTTGCATTCCTCGATGTTCGACCTAGCACAATTGGGACACCCTCTATAGTACAGCATAGGCATGCTACCACCCAGTATCCTATATATACACATATACAGCACAGTTTTCATCGTATCAGATTCTTACTGGTAGGGGAAGCTCGTATTGTATTACGCTTCGAGATAGTTCATCGCTTTACGGTTTATCCATATAAGAAAAAAAAACCTAATTAAGCACCAAATAATTCCACCGTCAATTTTTCGCTCTCTGACGTAAATACTTTATTATATTCATTAACAGACGGATATCCCATTTTTCCCGGATCATTAATTTGCATAAATACTTAAGTGAAATTTTTGTGAGAATTTTCTTGGGCGAATCGAATAGTTGATTCGGTGCGTTACCAAGTACTGCGATAAGGATTGACGAATTAAAAAACTGAAAACTCAAATTGTTGATAACGAAAAACTCAAAATTTGTTTATTCTTTTAGATACGAAGAATATACATATATATGTAATTTGGATGTCAAGCAGTATAATATATAAATTGTATGTTTTTAGGAAGAGGGCATGACGCACCGGACTCATGCAGTGGCGAAAACACGTGCGCATCAAGTACGGTGGTCGAGTCGGTGTCGGTCAAGGACAGCGAGAACGGGAACAGGTGCAGCTGCAGGTGCGCGTGGTGCAGCTGCAGGGGGAAGGGCCCCCTCGACTCAGTTACGTCTGTCATCAGCCTCTCGAAGACTCGTCAGCGTCTCGTCGCAGCTGCAGCGCAGCAGCCATGCTCTGCTGCGGCCGCAGAAAAGTGAGTCAATAATTAAAAAGCATTACTGACCTTACCTACGCATCCAATAGAGAGCCGAGGTCCTGCCAAGTACGCGGACGTTATAGTGATTTGAAAAAAAAATGTCATCGCGAAGGTTGGAAAGATTGTTGGCGCGACATGAATCTCTCGGTCAATGACCTCGGCGAGCCGGAGAGGAAACCGCTGTCAAGAAGAAGCAGGGTACCCTGGCTGGTGGAGAGTGGAGAGCAGAGTGTAGGATGAGGTCAGAGGGCTTGCGAGGTAGTGACGGAGGGTCGAACGAAGCTAAAGGGGTAGAAGAGCTGGCTGGAGAAGTCGTAGGGGTAGCGGCAGTAGTAGCAGGAATAGGAAGAGTAGGAGGTATAGAATAGGGAAGATGAAGTGGGCCGAGAAGGTGTAGAACTGGCTGGAGAAAGAGTAGAAAGAGCAGAGAGTGTAGAAAGGCTGGAAAAGAGTAGAAAAGAACTCATATAGGGTTTCGAGTTTCTTTCTCTATCCTGCGTAACCCTGTCTATGTCTCTCTCTCTCTCTCTCTCTCTCTCTCTCTCTCTCTCTCTCTCTCTCTCTCTCATACACACACACATACTGATTTCATCCCCAACTCACGGAGCCATGCTCGGGCATGGGCATATTGAAACAAACTTGGTCCGCGGGAACTTTGCCCTCTTCCTTCGACGGCCCATAAAAAGCCCACCGCGTTTCGTTTGTATACTGTCGATAGTTTTTGCGCGCTTGAAGGATATTGCTCGTTTCGCCAGATGTTTCTTGCACCGGCCATTACCCGCCAGTGGTTTCACGACTGCCGGGCCCTTGTCGTGATCGTTCACGTCGACGGCCTCGGCGTCGTCCTCCTCGCGTAACATCATTGCTTTACGTTAGTCCCATTGGCTGCGGGCGTGAGCGTTTAAGCTTTTCTTGTTTCTTTTATTCACCGAATACATATATCGCGATCTATTACGAAACTTGGTTTCCGTTCATGACCCTTTGATTGCCCGACCGTTTCTCTTGAGCGTGGTAGTGGATACTGGGTATTGTGAAAAGTAAATAGAAGGTTTGGAAATACTTTAGCTACTAGACTGATGGATGCTGCTCCTTTGTCCAAAAACGGGGGCTATTTTTGGCTTTGGTAATTTTCGAAAATTCAACCTTATACGGACTATCGTTACTACACTTGAATACTCAATGTTAAGAATCGGCGAGTGTCTAGAGACAATAGTGTTAATTCCAGCTACTCGAGGGTGCGTTCGCTTGGGGCATGACGATTGGCCGTTGATGGGGTTGCGAGCACCCTCTCGATGCTCCTGGTAACTCTATACAGTGATAGCGAAAGTATACTGGAAATCCTTGAGATTCTGGTAGCTGTCAGTATCTACCCCCTAGCGAGGGATGGGATCGGTGGGTACGATACTGGAATTTCGAAATTGCATTCGCCAAAGTGGACTCACTCGATTTTCTTGGTTAAACCGATCCTTCCTCACGTAAGCCGATCCCTCGTTGCAACGTCGTGCAGACATTCTTCGATACGTAGTTCTATATCAAGGTCGATTAACCTTGCGAAATTCAGAAATAAACCAGCTCGCCAAGGAGGTATTTGTTCGTATTGGAGGGGGACTAGTGGATATTGGTTTGGTAAAGAAGGTTGGCTTCTATCGTACGTAATAGTCTGGAATATAAGAGAGATACAGTGTGTATATGGATGGATAAGAGTATAAGCGAGAGAATGACAGAAAGTGAGTGGAAATGGGACAGCAAGAGTGATGATTATTCGTTAACAAGATTTGAAACTAAAGAAAACAAGGGAACTCAGATATAGTTTCTGGATGTACAGAAGCGGGAGGGAGGTTATGAGAGATGAAGAGACAAGTTTATTTAAATTTCACTAATGATGTCATTAAAATAATAAACGATGTCGTTTAGAGGAGAATGTAACCACTCCAGTCCCTTCTATTCCACCCTTGCTACTCGAAGATTCTGAAGTTGAAGGACGAGGGGTAGAGTTTTTCAAAAAAGTTTCTTTTTTTCTCTCTTTTTCTCTCTTATGGCAAAGGGATGCCAAACAGTCCTTCGTCCAGGCAGTTTAACTGGTCGACACGCAGAATCCCTGAAAACACAAAAAAAGAGAGGAAACAAGAAAATTACTTGAATACAGTTTTGTCGATAAACAAGGCACTTTTTTATTTTTACGTAGAAAAAATTTCAATTTACTTTACCTTATCGCGAATGACAATCGACGGTATACTGCGAGTCTTTCATGCACCCTTACCCTCTTACACGATTGTTTTGTCGTTATTTTTTTTCTTTTTCTTTCAATTTTACATTTACATAAGTACAGGTCTTGGAGTCTCGTGAGAAAGCTTCGAATCGCTTTCAGGAACTTGGCTTTATGTCAGTTCCGTGTAAAACTAGCTGCAGGCGATGTTCTCCTGTTCCGAGAATCCTTTTGCCTGTCAGGGAACATAGCTGTCTTTGTCTTGGGGTAAAGTACTAGGTAAATTCTCGAGATTTTAGGAATATTGAAGGCAAGGGAAAAATTACTTTTTTTCTAACCAACGCTGACAGCCAAAACAAAAGTTAATTTTCAAACACGACTGCTTCTTCTAAGTTAGACAAACGTTGAAGGATCGTTCTGTATTTTTACATTATTTACAGATCACGTCGTTTTTCTAGACTGGTATATGAATATATATCTACACACTTACACGTGTTACACGTGCATTCAAATATACGGTATCCATAAAGTAGAAGATGAAATCACATGCAGAACTTTCCTATTTATCATAATAAGTTGGTAGTGCGTGGGTAACCAGGTCTGACGTGCACTGGTGTTTCTCTATTATAAATCCAATGGCAATGCAGAAAGTCTATAGAAAGTTTTGACAAGCCGAAATATAAATGTTTACCATGAAGATTAAATATATAGAATGCATACGGTACAACGTAGCCATATATAACATAGGGCAAATACATATTGTACTTATATAGACAGATATAAAGGAGTAAGTCGCATTTTAGGTTATATGCAATATCCTGGGTTTTCATCGATCACACATGCATCCTATATGAATATGAATAATTAGGAATATCATTTTTTCTGGCAACAATTATTCGACAAAAATTTGATCAATTTTTTTAAAAATATTTTTACCTACCTTTTCAACGAGTTAATGACCTTACAGGAGCTCGTAACTGTATGGCTGTCACGTATTTATCGTGAATCTCGTTACGTCTCGCTGTGGTTTATTTACCCTATCTTTATTGTCAAACTTTCGTAAAATCTCTCTTTCTTTTTTTCATAGTAAATTGTCGAGTCATTGGACCAAAACTCCTGTATCAAAATCCCGATTGAGAGTCCCTATACGTTGGTAATCCAAACCAGCCTGGTTGAGCCACGAGTTTTTCTATTCATGACGCTCGAAAGCACAGCATAACCGACGCAGCCCGTGGACAAATGAAAAAGCATCAGCGCTCGAAAAGACAGCGAAATTTATATACGCTGGACGCGACCTTTTCGAAACGTAATAAATAGGAGAAAATTTTTTTAAATTAGTCTTTCGAAAATATCGAGCAAAGAAAGAAATAAAGAAGGGTGGCGAATGGCATTGAAATAAGACGGGGTAAGGAAAAGGAACGAGTCCCTTAAATCCTTTGATTTTAATAGGCTCGCTAATAAACGTTAAGCCAGTAACACGTTAACGAATAGCCGTCTATCTAGTGTGCCCTAATGCGAAATCAATATCTAATTATCTCTCGCCACCTTTACCTACCTCTTTTCTTCTCTCGAACGTCACCCACCACCACGTTTCATATTTTATTATTCTCCTACAGCAATGAACGACGCGCTCAACGGGCATTAAGAGACAATTTGAACAAAGAATAAAAACAAAAGGTTACACACGAGTCGTCTATAGCCACAAAGCTTAACATACAATTTCAAGACCCACGTCTCTACCATGTATTTATTCGAAAAAAAAAAATATAGGATACGTAAAAAGAAAAATGACAAAAGTCAGAAAGCCGAACGTCAGAAATTAATTGTTGCTTCGTGGACTTTTACAATCCGAAAAAATGATAGCCTTAAACTACAGTCGAATAGAGAACATTTGTCCTCGTCAGGCAAATACATAAGTACATACCTATATAGTGTACATATACGTATATAATATACGTATAAGATATATATTTGGGATATGGTCACGTTTCCGGGTCACCCGGCGTACGTACACGTATGTCTGTCCTTTGTGTTGGAGTATCTTCTAGCGGCACCTTTGATCACGACATCAGGACGGATTGTTGCTTTCCGGGGGTGGTCGACTCTGGTCGACTATCGATTCTTGATCGAATCTCCAAAGCAGATTTCCATGCTGAAAATTTATGCCCTCATTCGTTTCTTTTAATTGGGTCTCGTATCTCCGTGCGCGAAGGGGCTCTGCATCGTGAATCGTTGATACGTGCATACCGGGTCCTCATTCTGTAGGAGCTGTAAGAAGGGAATAAATTTTAAATTCTAGCGTAGCGTTTTATTAATCCGAAAGATAACCTATAACGGACAGGTAACAAAGTAGTGGCCTGGATAATTGAGAGGTAATTGCCGAGCGATACCTGGGAAATCGGTGTGACGAGTGCGGATGCCGCGGATGGATAAGTTTGACGGGGACGAAGAGTCGAGAGGATAAATGGCGACGGTGGACGAAGAGCGAAGAGGGAGATTGGCTAGAATGAAAATGTCGACCGTAACGGAAAGTCTCTTTGATTCTCGGTAGCCCGCAATTATCCTCTTCTTGCGCGTCCCATATTGAGAATCTGGAGCACTCTGCTATTTTTCACCATCCTGGAATTAGTTTGTACATTTCTTTTTAGATTTTCAATACAGCGAGCTCCGATCGAAATAACGGTAGGGACGCATTGTTACGGTTTGTCTATTGTTGTTATCAATTATCTAACTGGCACGGTTTAACTTGGTCGTCTTCTTCGTGACGTCTCGAACGTTATTTGCTGTCGTTTGGTTACGGAGCCACATGAGAACTTTTACCGTCTAACTATACGTGCTTAGAACTTACGAAATTATCGGTACGGTCTTTGAAAGTGGCTTCTGAAATTTGTACGACTGAACTCGCCGTTTGCCTTCGCGAACGATCAGCGCGCAGCAGAGCTTATGGGATTCGAGAAGCGTCAGTGATATGGCGTATATGGTACCGTCTTTTAAGGAAGTTCACGAAAACTTTACGTAGCGATTACACGAAGCGTCACGTGTCACGCATTTAGTTTTCATTTCACGTTCATTGCGGCGCATCACGAAACGTCACTTGTCCGAAGTTATGGGCAGTGGGACAGTCGAATTAAAAAATTCTTCAGGATGAAATAATAGCGATTTCTTTTTTCAAAATTCTCGATTCTCGTCACATAAGACAATTTTATACAAACAGCGTCCTGATAGAATACAGTTGGGATTAGAACGCTAATTATTAATCGTAAAAAAAAAATTAATTAACTTAACCTTAAAAAGTTTTGAGTTACGATGGTATTAAATTTGCAAGAGGAATGAACAATCTAAAGTCCTCAGTCGAATAGCGGTGCGGGCTGTTATTATCGATCGATCTTTCAATGCCGTATGACCTCTGCCCGATGCATTTTACCAGGTCACGTAGTACGTAGTAGCCTCGCTCTAATTTCCACGATTGATCTCTGGGTCTGTGAATAACCAGCAGTCATAACGTTCGTTTCTCTTTCGGGACAAGCTCAGTGAGGTTTGGAAGGTTGGTATAATTCAGGAACGTATTTCGTTCGAGCATCTAACGCTATTTATAATACCCACCCTCGTCATCCCGATCTCAAAGAGAGCTCATATAAGCAGCTAGAGCTCGAGCCAAATCGAAACCTATCTTTAATTATTAATTTTTTATTTCATCCCCCTTCTCGTTCGACATGATACACCTCGCCGAGAAGTTATCAGAGTCATGATTCTCAGGCATCATTACTCTTAACCATCGATCCAGCACCGATCGATCTACCAATTCCGACGTCACATCAGCGAGGAGTTCGAAATCCCGACGAAGAAGATGGCTGTGCAGCCAGTCCCGGTCCTCTCTTATCCGAGTGGCATTCAAGTGTCTCAAGAGTAAGACACGCTGAGGGTTGTTACATAGGCCACGAAGATTGTAATACGTATACGTATACATGGGCTGGTGTTGACACATAGACCCCATGGCTATCGGTATAAGCCGGTAGTACATAGTCGGGTCCGTATGTATGAGAAAGTGGGTGGCAGTGGGTCGGTGGGGTAGGTTGAGGGGGATGTACTTGAGGAGGACCAGACGCAGGCGCATTGAGCCAGTATCGTATTGCAGGACCGGTCCTCCTGCCGACCCTTAATTCCAACCCTCCGTGCGTACGCTTGCGTGTACGGTGCACGTCTACGGCGTCGTTACTACCATCGGCGGGGGTGCCTGTGGCCTCTTGGCTAATGGCGAGTTCGTCCAGCAGCGACAGGGTTGCGCGAGGATGACGACGGTGGAGGTAGAAGCAGTAGTACGGCGTGCAGCATTCAGACACAGGGCGCGATAGAGGAAGAGAGGGGGTCGCGGATGGGTGGGAAAGTGACGTCACGGCTGGTCGATAGCACCCACCGACCCCCCGCCGTCCTCCTCCTGGCCAGACAAGGGGCGCAGGCGTCCCTCTGACCCTACTAGTATTCCACCATCATTTTACTACCGGCAACGTCGGGCACGAGCGTTCGCCAACTTCGGGGGTCTCGTACTTCTGCCCGTGGTTCCCGCCATATTAGCCGCCATGGGATAGCGCGATGTGCGATAGGGGTGGCTCGGGCTGCTTTTTCTCCCGCAAGGTAACTCGAAAGTACCGGACGTAGATGGACGGGAGGGTACATGGAAGAATGAACCGGGGCTCCACTCGAGGGTACTAGGGCTTTTTACGTAACGTGGTGATGAGTGTCTATTCTCGTTATTATTTAGGGCTTGCTCTGAATATGTCATGAACAGCCCGTTTACGTATGTGTACACGTGTACTCCTGCCGCCCCTGTTAGACGTTACGTGCGGTTCTCTTCCCTGCTGGAAGTTAAATCGACCGCGTGGGTCATCCTCGTGTCGCGCTTAAGGGCGCTCTTCCCTTGGACGCTGATCCGTACGTTCTTTGGGGATGGTTGCACCTGACGATAAATACCATGGAGAGAAATTGGAGAGCGATGCCATTTTTTTTATAGGGTTTACACGTGTCTGCGAAGCTTTGAGATTTTTTTTTTCATCTCTGATAATATTTTCTCTCCCGTCGTGTTCCTTCGTCCGTGATCGTTTTATCAGTTTTATTTAGTACCCCATAAAAATTATGAAGCGCTCGTCGACTGGTTCCACCTGAACTTCTCTGCCACGGATTTGCAGAACCTCCTACTAGGATTATACGCGAGACCTTCGGGCTGGCTTCGAAGTGGCCAACTCCACTAGGCGGTCGATATGCTAATTTTCGACGAATTACTGGTCTCCTGCTTACTGTATTTTCATCCCTCCTATTTTTCGTCCCTTTCCTTGCTCTCTCATCAACCCTTAAGAACTAGGCTTGGGCCAGACTACTATACTTGACATCGATTGATGGTTTGTTTCGCTCGATTACAGGAAGGCCGGGGGGAAGTGACAGACATAAGCGCAAGTCCTGGGAGGCAGGCACCTGCCAACCAGTTGCGCCCCAAAGAACCACCCCCCATGGTCATTCAAGGAGATTTCAGGAAGGTAATATCCTTTTAAATTGGCTCTAAAGTTAAAATGACTACCTAGATTCTACATGCCAACAGTATATGGTATACACGTAACAACCAATATTGTCCATCGACTTTTGAACGGAACTTAGGGAACCAGATTTAACTGCCCTTTCGAAGACACCCCACGATCGTCTACTCTGTCCCAAGTGCTAGATCATGGCGTGGCTTCGAGATCATTACCATTAGACGGATCCGTACGTAGCTATCATACTGGCTGATGTAGAGTGACAACTCGTTGCAGGTGAGTGGCATCAGCACCGAGATCTTCAAGCAAATAGAGACCGTGGAAAATGACCATGACGCGTCAACGGCCGCTGCGCTCGAAGCTGTCGAGCGAAGGGGCGAAATGGTGGTTCGTGTCATCGAACCACGTCAGATGGGCAGGCAGGTCTCGGAGGCTGCGAAAAAGTTCATCTCTATGCAGGTAAGTAGGAATGGTCATCAGTCTGGAGTACCAATCGACCCTGGACTGTTCCCATCTATGATCCCTGACCTTGAATGAATAACGTCCTTCTACTAGATGGCTAATGGTATCCATGCCATTCTCCAGGACCCCAAACATCCTGTTCATCTGGTAGAGATCATCAAGAGGCCAGGTCAGACTTTAGGCCTCTACATTCGGGAGGGTAACGGCATAGACAGGAACGACGGCGTCTTCATATCTAGGATAGCTCTGGAGTCTGCTGTCTACAATAGCGGGTGTCTCAAGGTATAAAAAATAAAAGTAGAACCTCATCCTACCGGAACCCGTTATCTATCGGAGGTCCTGACAATGTTCAACCCTGACGATGTTCATCCTCCAGGTCGGCGATGAGATCCTTGCTGTAAATTTGGTAGACGTGACACACATGAGTCTCGATGACGTCGTTATCATAATGTCGATACCCAGGAGGCTGGTCCTGGCTACCAGACACGGTCCTCATCAGCCGGTGTCGCACAGCCGTCAAAATGAGCACAAGGCGCCTCCGGTTGTGGTAATTAAAAGGGAGCTCAATGAGGACGAGAACGATCACACCACTAGTAATCATATAAGGTGAGCCCCTGGACTGTCTACGGATAGTATATAGGAAGAGACCTATGAATAGGTCGTGGGTGACAAAGTGGATTGGAAGTAGATCGATCAAGAGTTTTATTCTGATCCGTTCAGGGACGGCAGCCGTAGAAGAGGCGACGGTCGAGAAATGTTACCTTCTCGCTCGAGACTCGGTCTAACCGGATTGGGATCTAGTCAGGATCTAGGATCGAGCAATGGGGATCTGTATTATAATTCCAGACCGGAAGGACATTGGTCTTATCAGCCACCACCGCCACCAGTTATCACGCACCAACCTAAACCTTCGACCACTCAGCACTTTCAGCCTTACGAGCGTGGATATCCAAAGACTTTGGAGAGTCTTGCTGAGAAAGTAAGTCTTTCCGGCAACTGTCAAACTGACACTTATGCATACTATGTACGGCTATGGATCGAAACTGTATTTATAGCTCTGTTGGACGTTCTTTGCATTACTTCGATACTTCTTAATTTTCCGGAAAAATCTTTTCGATCCATCGTCAAGAGTAGGTACCTATAGATGTCTTAGCCGATGTGGATCGAGCACCCTTTTACACCTGTCTGCACCGTTTAACACTTGTTTGCCCTATATATATAAATGTATGTTCTGTGACACTGTATAAAATCGCAGATCGCTAAGGGAGACCATTAATGAAAAAAGGAAAGCGAAAGGGAATAAGGGACATTTTGTCCACAGGATCTATCTCATCCCTAAATAAATCGTGTAGTCTGCACGCGTATTGTTCAAATCCTGAGCCGTTCTGATGTTCGATCACGATAGTCGTCGGCATCGGTACTCGGACACTGACTGTATATTTTTTTCAAATTATCATATTTATAACGAACGGGTCAGTGGGCGATGTCGAATTGACTGTCTAAAGTGCGTAGTTCAATAGTGATACATTTTTTAAAAAGAAAAATCATGTATCGGTACGGCTCGAGACGAATGGCAGTTCGCAGCGCGACTCTGACAACCAAATTTAATGACTAATCGGTTCTGAATGAATGCTACATTGAAATTAACCAGGATTTCACGAAGGTAAAGAATACATAACATTTCTTGATACTAGACTTGATATAAATATCTACAGGGTGTTTTGCTAAGGACGCTACACACGGAATACGATGTAGCACGCTGTAATCTTTGCTCGCCAGCAAACTCATTTGCTTCTGTGATTTTGCTTCGTGTGAAAAGTCCAAAAATATTATTACTATATTTCATTAAAATATAGTTTTTGAAAATTCGCTACAATTCTTCCAAGAATAATTGCGAGGGTACAGCATCAGACGGAATAAAATTTTCATATCAAATTTGAAGCAGGCATAGCTTCGGTATGTTACTTCATAAAATTTTTGTCTGATCCCGAAAAAAAAAATATTTGCAAAAATTCCAAACTTTATTTATTATTACTCATATATCTCCAACTTTATCACATCATAGAGAATGCACCCTTTCTACCCTTCACCGTCAGATCAATATCCAAAGAAGCAATGAAGCTATAGTCGTACTGTTAACACATAGCCAGTAGAATAGTACGCTTATACTAGAGATCAACAGTGGATCCAACCCATTATATTCCCCGGTGTAAGCGCCTTTATTGAACCACCCTGTATATATCGCTCTGGCATAATATATGAAATACACTTGATTTCTGTTATCCCTTTCCGAGCTTTCTATACGTATAGTTTAATTTCTTTCCCTTACTGTATTACTATATCACTTCGTTAGCAACACGCTATAACATTAAGTACGCAGAATTACAGTCAGTCGTAGACAAGAACACAGGGCTGAACTTTCGACAAAGGTAGTGTAGCAAGTGGGACTCAACCCTAGGCGGGCCAATTGTACACGAGTTAACCGTGTAGAATTATTCCTTGTAGAGTTGGGTCCAACTATATGGCCGGTAAAGACATGAAATGGAAAAAGAGTAATGATAAGTCGACTATATGCTAGTCTAGTACAGTACGTTATAAATAAGCTCGAGTGTCCAAAGTTCTTATCGACGACAGTCAGTGGTACCGTTGAATTAACTAGCCGAGTATAAGTCCTGGTGAAGTCGACCAGGACGAAGGCGTTGGTACCTGATAAGGGGATGATTGATAAATCGATAATGATTTCTCGTGGGAAGCATTAAGATTACCCAGAATCCATTCTGTTCTCAGTTTTACGAATGTCGTTACTTTTGCGGTCGACTTTATCAGGGTTCTTTTTTACGATGCTATAGTAATAGAGATACGAGACTATAGTTATATTTCCGATTAGGTACACTCATTTTACACGGGACCGGTGATGCCTTCCAATGGCGCACGTCGCATGTCTACTGGTGGAGGGATGCAGTCGGTCGGCGGAAGATTGTCAGGACAGAATCAATCGTCGCATTATGGGTACACACAGCACAGTAGTAGCGGAAGGATAATGCCTAGGAGTGGATCGGATCAGCATTTGCCTAGGGTCGATTACACCAGTATTACGACACCAGCGCGTCATACGTTGCTCAGATCCAGCTTGAAGTCAGGTAGACAGTGATTAATTAAAAAAAAAAATAATAATATTGTGGAGTAAATTGATTTTTGATTTATTTAACGGGATGATTTATTTTTATGGTTTCACAGGGTCTTCCGCTTTACGGTATAATTCTCGTTACGGAGTACAGAGCGATGCTACATCCAGCTCGCAGAGACAAGGTCAATTCGGCACGTTGACTAGGAGACATCGGCCTTCCCTGGACTATGCTTCGGATACCGAAGCTACTTGTTCCAGTTCGCCACGATCGGCTTATTATTATTACAGACATAATATGAATAATCCTTCGCAGAGTAGTGCCGTCTCCCACCTGGCTACTTTGTCCAGGTCGCAGATTGGGCAGAGTTCCTCAGGTAGGAAGCAGGAGAAAATAGCGTGGTTAGACGTTCAGGTGTCATTGTGGTAATGCTGTGACTCTTTGGTTACCAGGATTACGATCAAACTCTCTACCTAGAAGTGGCAGAACATTGCCACAGCAACCAGGAATTCGTTCAGGACTCAGCACAGTGACGTCTGGTCTGATCGATCAGGAGGACAGCGACGGGGCCTTGTCAGCTCCTGAACTTCCTTCCATCAGACGGGATAGAGGTAAAATTATCAAAGTTTCCAAGCCAAAACTTTCCTAACTCTCTGCTTGGAGTTAGAGTCCTATAAGGGGGTTAGCTTGAGACTCGTGCTTGGAATGAGTGTTTATTACAGGCAGGATACCGTCATCCCCTAGTGTCTTTACGTCTGATGAGTACAGAGCATGGCTGAGCAGGACCCCAAGTACAAGCGCTTTGTACGAGCAGATTAGAGCAACTACGAATCGACCACCTCGTTACACGTATAGTGCGGAGAATATTCATGCTGCTGCCAATCAGGTACGCTTTGTCTTTTTGAATTTTATTGTCAGTTATAGTATTTATCAAGATTTTACAAAAATTGTAATTTTCTAGGCTGAGTATGGAAGCTATGGCTCTTACAGACCACTCTCTAGCACCCTGGACAGACTCTCGACGAGGTCGGCCTCGGCGCAGCAGGTCAACCTTGCTAATCTACGAGCCTCTACGGCAATCAGTTCATCCTGTCATAGAACTGCTAGTAATCCTAGACCTGCGTCTGTAGCCTCCAACGCGCGTTCCTCGTTGGCCAGTCAGAAAGCTTCCTTGAGCAGTTCAGCCAGTCAAAGAGCTACGTCTGTCAGGAGGATTCGAAATTTATTGGATTTGGAATCGACCAGGAATATACCAACTCCTACGCCTACCAGAACTCAGGATCAAAGACTGCTAGATATTAATCCTGCAGGTTCGTCTATCCATCACACTTTGCAGTTCATCAATGACCCTGGTCATCAAATTGGAATCAGCTCGTGACTCTTGTGAATCCTTTCAGAGTTCCTCAAATATAAAATAGAGAAACCACCAACCGTGGGCACCCCGAGTTCTACCAGCTCTCTGTTAAGCTCTTTAGGTGACACTGGTGGTGGTGACCTGGCAGGTGGTGTCAGTGGATTGTTATGGGTGCACTTACTGGCAGGTCGTGGTCTCAGATCAACGACATCATCCTCAGCAGCTACGACACCCTCGACGCCATCCGGTCAGCCTAATTTAGGTATGTTAATACGAACGGGACTATGTAAATCCAGAAATGTCCAAAAAATATTCTCCAAAATTGAAACGCTGCTCTTCTACCTCGTCCAGGTACCTGCGGCCTGAGAGATCTTTACTGCGTTCTCGAATGCGACAGAGTTCACAAGGCTCGTACTGTCGTACGCACTGGGGACTTGATGTTCGACTGGGACGAGACCTTTGAACTTGATCTGGTTGGCAATAGGCAATTGGACTTGCTCGTCTATTCCTGGGATCCTCAGCACAGGCATAAGCTCTGCTATAAAGGATCAGTTCATTTAGCTACTCTCCTCAAGGAGTCACCGCTGCATCAACTCGCACTCAAAGTAGAACCACGTGGCACTATTTATCTTAGACTACGATACACGGACGCACACCAGACCTTCAAGCGACGAGGTCTACCAGTTATTTCTCTGGCTACAAGGGTGGCACCTCTCTTTGGGGTTGACCTTGACACCGTGGTAGGTTTAACGATGAAGGTTTTAGCTTTCAAGTACGATCCTTTGCGCTAGACATAAATACATATTTTCTTCAACTACAGGTAAGTCGAGAGAGTAAAACTGGGGGAGTACCTGGAGGAGTTTCCACGGCACTTGCGATGGGTGGGGCTCAGAATGTTCCTATCATCGTTTGGAGATGCGTCGAGGAGGTAGAAAGAAGAGGACTCGATATAATTGGTATTTTAATTTGTATAATTATTACAAAGGAAAAAACGTTTATTTACGACAATCCGTCTCATGAATATCGGTTTTAAAGGTTTGTACAGGCTGTGTGGCTCCGCGACCAAAAAGAGGATATTGAGAGAGGCATTTGAACGTAATGCTAGATCAGTGGACTTATCACCAGATAATGTTCCTGACATCAACGTTATCACTGGTAATACAAAATTCTACCAAAGTATCTTCCACGAGGCCTTAGATAATTCTCTAATTATACTTCAATTATTGCAGGAGTGCTTAAGGATTACCTAAGAGAATTACCGGAACCCCTGTTCACGAAGTGCCTCTACCAGATGATGGTCGATGCACTTGCAGTTTGTTTACCGGACGATCCACAGGGCAATGCTAAATTAATGTTCAGTATACTGGACTGCCTACCAAAAGTGAACAGGGTCAGTATTGCATGTAAAATATATTTACAATAAAGAATATTAATTTTTAATTTTCACATTACAGTGTACCCTGATCTACCTTCTGGATCATCTAGCAATGGTGGTATCCCAATGCAACAAGATGTCACCAGCAAGTCTAGCAGTGTGCTTCGGTCCAGTTCTGATGTTACACTCCGAAGACAACGGTCCACCCTTGGACTTCCAACAGCCTATAGCAGTATTGAAATACCTTCTAGAGATTTGGCCAGTAAAGTCAGGTAATGATATCATTCCCATTGACGTAACCGTTGGCGATGACACACCTCGAGTTCCTCCAGTCGCCCTGAGGTTGTTGCGATCACAGAAATTACATAAGAATCGTAGCGCTCATCGCGGCTCGCGAGCAACTCGTAAGGGCCAAGTAATCAGTAGTTCATTTCACAGACAGTTCGGAAGATTTCTTCAGTCGGTTCAACGCTTCCTCGAGTTACGCAACCAGCAGGTCACAACACCAGTCAAGCGGGACAACAGGGACCGGGAACCTTGGGACGCACAGGGCTGCCCTGGCAGCAGCAACCCTCGCTTCATCATCCTCCCCAAGCTACAACCCCAGGAGTCCTCGGAACTACCACACGACCTCCACCGCCGGTCAAGCCGCGGCAGGTACGACCCCACGAGTCTTCCTTCGACCTCTACAGGTCTAGATCCAAAGCATGCTACATGGTGTCGCAGGCTGTCTATAACAATTTCACTAGGATTTCTCAGGACTAGTGTAACTTATTGATGTTGAATATATGTACAGAGTATACGAATGACAGTATAATTTTGGTACGGGTTAAGGACGGTATACACGTGGCCCGTGGCCCGTATTCATACATTGCTTTTGGTGTCCCTATGCACGTTAATACGGGTGGTCACTGTTAATACTGAATAAAAAAAATTATTTATTCAATTAATCTAAATCACCATCATAACAGTGTTTACGATATGGTGAAGATAATTTTTACTTACCTTTGCTATTTAATATGCTATTTTTTTGTTATCACAATATAAAACTTATCTTCAACCGTTCCTGAGGAAAGGCCTATCAAAGATTTATGGTTCACTGAGAAATTCCTATTACTAACACGTTCTCCTTCATTCTTCACTCATTCGCACGAACAATCAAATACCTACAATATACTATTGTAATCGGATTTTTAATATCACTGCAACAGCGGTGTTTCTAAGGCATCGTGATTTTTTTGTTAAAAAAAAAAAAAATACAAAAGCGAATTTTCATGGAATACAAAATTCTCGCTTGCGCATAATAAGCAAGGTGCGAATACACCCTGACAAGGATCTACCGTGCATGCATTCTCTCTGTCCTTGGATAACTCTCTCGTATTTCATCGTCGCCTGATTTGCAATAATCTCCGATACCTTCTTTGGCCGATTATCGTATTTCTATACTGCGTGTATGATTTTTAATTTTCTATAGTTTACGTCGTTACACATAGTAACATTTACGTTGTCTTCTTGACTTTGTTTGGGCACGTATTCAGAGCAAACGCAAATTGCCGGCTCTACCAAACCGCTGACAGCACAGAGACGCCGCTTCTTGCACAGGTATTATCGTTATCATTTCATTCGTCTCGTTCACTTTTCGTTCATCTCTGCATGGCTCTGCGATACCGGAGTGAAACGAGGGCGAGTCCCTTCTTAATGAAAAATCTCATCTCGTGACGCTCCGGTATCCGCGATATTTCCGCACGGTCTAATTTTTCTCTTTTTATACAATCCTACGCCACACCCCCGTCGACCGAGCGATTCAGCTTCCGTTTAATTAATCGAATCGAATTAAAGTCTAATACTCCATATTCATGAATATTCAAATTGACGGAATTCAACGTAACAACGGAATCCGTTCTCTCTTCGACAACGTTTGTACCGACCCTACTACACACTTTGGGAAACCATAACCTATAATTCTTCTGGTCTCGTGTAAATGTGCAGGTGATAGTCTCGTCACCCGGTTCACCTAGCAGCGAGGAGTCAGCTTCCCCGGAGCCAGTTAACAAGGACCTCGGCGGCTTGGGATTCAGTAATGGCGAGGCCGTCGAGCAGATAACACCTACGAGCAGCGTCGATACCGAAGAAGGTAATTCGGCCCATCCGGAGGAGGGTGAACGCGGAGTAGAAGGCGACGCCGAGGCGAGTGACGATGATATCGCCAAGACACGTTAACCATCCCTATGACGGATATACATTGGGAAACCGGATGTCGTCTCTATACCATCTTGGATTTACGATAACGGCGTGCCGCACAGTGAGTACCGTATGAGACGGAGTACAGGCTTCGCTCCATAAAGGAAAGCACGTGGCGGCTCTTGAAAAATTCGTGACGTCCCGACGCCATCACAGGATACAGTCAATCTTAAGAATAAACGTTTTACGAGAAGCACAAGATGAGAGAAAAAAAAAGAAAATCTCCGTCAACAGAGCTATCCTGACGTTTCCGCAGGACGGAAGTGAGAGGACGTGGCTTGTTTACTTAAATTTTCATTAATTTTCATTCGAACGATTGTGCGTCATAAATTTTTACCAACTTATATTGCCAATACACAGCAAGTATCAGATCGCGACTTGAATCCTCGTGATTTTCTAACTCATTGTCTCACGGCGATTAACACCACAGAATTCCACTTCCTGTTGTACGACACAGAGACGTCAACAAAGTCATGTATTATTTTGCGATACGAAGATACGTTCGTTCAGGATCATTGAGTCTCTACGGTGCAGGCAGTGAAGTCACTCAAAAGAAAAAACAGTCGGTCGGTAGATCGTGCGATTTTTTCCGGTTAAATTTATGACAGTGCAAAAAAAAGACAATTGCAGGAAGCAAAGTACTATAACGAGAAACAATAATACATTTTTTTTATCCTCATAAACGACTAAGGTAATTTCGTCGTGACGTCTTTTATCATGCGGTCTCTACTTTCTAACGGTTTTTACAGTTTATAAAAATTATAACAGTATGCACGAGAAACATTATACTGTCGAAGCTATTCTTCGTAACCTATAGAAAATCACTGTCGGGCTTATGAGGGAAGGCGGGCTCGGAAGGATTATTAATTGTTCAACCTGAAGGTCGAATTCGAAAGAAACAACTTTCCCTTCTCTTCCGATACAACTATACATAACTACACGACCAAATGCAAGGGAGGCGGAAAGAAAGAGGGGGGGTTCGTGTTTTGCAAAAATTCAAACCATCATCATTTTTTTTTTAATCAATGCTACTCCGTAACCAACTTTAATTTTTTTTTTTCTTCTTCAATTAAATCTTCACAATACAAGACATTCTTTCAGGACGGAACACACACTGTTCGAGCCCGGACAAGAATGTAACGGAGCTTTTGACACACAGCCAGGTTTACACACATATGGACACACAATAAGCAGAATGACAGAAAAATGAAACCATGATGATATACACAATGGTCGGTTTATATACAATATACTATATGTAGAATAGAAAGGATATACATGTGCTTTTGATAAAGACTATTACGTATAGCGTTAGCTAGCCCTCATACGCAACTACTAACAGTACATGCAAGTTCACGGGACTACGATTACTATTATTATTATTATCATTATTATATATATATACATATATATACGTATACGCAATCGCATGGCGGGATCGTATATCGCGTCACGCGGATGTGTGAACGCGTAGTCGCGTTTTACCAATGAAATTATACGAAATCCACGATATAATTGTATATGTGACAATAGGAAGAAAAAATCGCGACGATTATAACATATGGGTTTGGGTGTACGTAGAGGTAGAAATGTTGTTTTGATCAGCGCAGATGCGGGGTGGAGTGTCGTCGAGGAAGATGAAAATTTCAAACTCACCGAAATGATAATAATTACGAGTTACGTGACGAAAGCGTGAAGGAGGAGGACGGGGGGGGGGTGGTTGGTGAAAAGTCAAAAGAAAACGCTAACTTTTAATCGGTAATAGCCAGTATTATTATAAATATCTAAAGTTAAAGGAAGAATGAAAAAAAAAAAGAAATGAAAACCGTAAACTATTAACTAAAACTGAACATAAAGCCGTGCGCGTAATCCGTCGTCGGAGCGATCGTCTACCGGTTATATGTACTTATCAGCTGACGATGATTACAGATATACTCCGTTTGTATAAATAATTTTAAAAAATGACACACTACTTTCGCACAGTTAGAATTTATCGTCAGGACGAGTGTTTAATGTGAAAAAGAAAAAAAGTGGTGAAACGTAGATCAATATATTGTATAGTGAGTGTATTGTACAATACATTATTATTATTATTATTCCCGTTGTAATTGTCTCTCGATAAGTACGCGGTGAAGAATGTCGAGTATCGTATTTGCGTGGTACTTATTGTTAGTTTAATTGAAATTTCAAATTTTGTCCATTTTTCGCGCCCTTTTACGCATCTCTCACGTAATCGAATTTCTCGAGTCGAATTTCTCCGTCGCAACTTTCGCGCTCTCGTTGTTTCCGTTGTAGCGAGACTCGCGAATTTCCGCAGGCCGCTCTGCGGTCGATTGATTTTGATGAATAAAAGTGTAGAAAAAAGAGAAAAAAAGATTTCGTAAATACGAACGACGCGTAAATTCGTCGTTAACTTTTTTACGGTGAAAAATTGCGGTACCAGGTAACGCTCAAAGCCGTGAATAGATTTTTCATGGAGTTTTGTTATTGTTTCTTACTGTAATACTGTATGGTATAATATATGTATAGTACTGTGTATAATATAGTATAGTGTAATCACGGTATACGACACTCCTCGCCGCTAATTATAGTCTAAAATAATTACGCCAGAGAGTAATTAATTATACAAGAGAACAAGCACACTGCCGCAATTTTATAAATTGAACTGTTATTACCTATTAATCAAGACTTGAAACGGAACGATATACATGGATATGCCGTTCTTAGGGGAAAAAAGAGGATGGTACACCCAAAGCGTTATGCGTATAGACAATATATACCGTACGAGAAACATTAAGGTTAATTTTGATGAAACATTTTTTTCCGTCAAAATTCAATCGGCGTATCTCTTTGTATCCTCCGTATCCGTACACTTACTACTTACGAACGTGTCGTATCGATTAGAACGTACGATACGACAGCGTCTGCGAAACATTGATAACGATCAAGTTTTAACGTGGCTCGAATGATTTTCGAATTTATGTGTATAATATTTATTTGTCTTATTAGTATTTTTTTCCACATCCGGTTGTCCACTCAATGACACTTTGCTACAGTAGTCAGAGATGAAAATTGATCAGACAACTTCTGACTTCGTTCGGGCTACTTGTAACTTTATCGAGGAATCTTCTGATGAGCGCACACTTTCGATTCGTTATTCTGTACAAACCGAATTGAACTTTCCTATACGCAACCCCGGCAGGAGACAAAGGAAAAGGGTTGATTGATTGTGCAAAAATGCGAAGAGTGAATATTAATGAGAGAGAGAGAGAGAGAGAGAGAGAGAGAGAGAGAAAGTGGTATCCTGGCGCAATAACGGCATACATACATATGGAGCAGTGTTATATGTTAAAAAAAAACTGTCATGCATAGCGGATACATGCATACACTGTATGTCACAACGAAACCGAAAAGCGCTATAAAGTCACGTACAAGTATAATGAAGTGAGAGGAGTAAAAATAGGAAGAGGGAAGAGAAAAAAAAAATCATTAGATTTATAATCGACAAGGTGGGACAATTTGAGGGGGATTTAACGAAAAGATAAGAAAACAATGGAACAATCGTTGGAACGAATGTACGGAGAATAAGGAGCAGCTGGATCGATGAGGGTGGGCGAAATATACAAATGTAAGTTTTTATATGTAAGAGACGTTTGCATTACCTGATTCTATTTGCAATCGCAGCGATTATCAATGAGGTTTTATTGCATTTTTTTTTCTCGATGTCTACAGAGCGTACGGTTAACGGATAATGACGGCGCGAGCGATATCTTTGATGTGATTCTTTTTCACGATGATTAGCGATACGATAAAAATGTTGTTTTTTTTTTCCGTAAGAAAGTTGTGATTTGCAAATTTCGGAAATTCACGTGTCAAATCAATCGACACGTGTTTCACATGAATGAGTCTTGCGACCGTCGCAGTTATTCCGAACAACCATTGAGGAGATATTGGTAAAGAGGGTTTCAACCCTTGTGTATTTTATGTGTGAAACTGACTGTATGGGATTTCAAGCCCTTTAAGAACTTCTATGCTGGCTCCGGCATATCTCTAGTGTGTACTGGCCTTTAGGCACGAAGTTCCATAAGGCTTGGTCCTCCTTACTAGTATCTGCTTGGTGCAACCACTAAACGTAAACACAATGGACCACGTTTGAGATACTGAAATCTTTGTTAAAAAAGAAAATTACAAAAAAAAAAGATGAACTTTTTATCACCTCTAAGTTAGATAACGCCAATTCGTAAATTTTTATGGAAAAATTACAAATGGGATTTATGGAGAATTGAAAAGGACGTTAAGGGACTTAAGGACTATAAAAGGGAAAATAACGTAACGTAAGCGATCGCAGTCGCGAAAGTTAGGAGGTAATGAATTTAAACAGAAAAAAAAATGGCGAGCGCTTTCTCAGGTTTTTTCACATGGTTATACAAATTATCGATGTACCCCGTTCGTTTCGCCAACCCCTCGTAGACTCGTCGTACACGCAGAAACCACACACGATTCATCCCATTAACTTGTACACACGACATATACATGTAACATAATCGCAGTATGAATTTACGCAAAAGATCTTGACCATTCGCGAATTAGCAATAAATAATTAAACGAAGTGAAAAAACGAATATTGAAAAAAAAATTATGTCGATGTCCTAGGGGCATTTTCAATAATAATAAAAAATAACAGAAAATCCTCAAAATTTGTTAGCATGCACCGTGTATCGAGTGTGTTCGATTTTGCGTGTAACACGTTTTTCGGATTTTCATGTAAAGATCGCCAAGCGTTTCTTTCGCAATGGTACTTTGACTCGATGGAGCATATACGCGAAAAAAAAAGGAAATAATAGTAAGAGAGAATAGAAAAAAAAAACAATAAGAGAAATATATAGGATAAAGACAAAGTGGAAATAAATGAAGGAACGATCGATCGTCGCGAGCTTACCCCATCGGGAGAAAAATTGTCAATCAGTGGTGATCGCCCCCTTTGAATCCATCGTCTGGGAGACATGGAGGAATTACCTGAAACATTAATAAAAAAGCATAGGAATGTCAATTAACGTGTTGCTTAGTCGATTTTTCATTTAATTCAGAAAAAAATTTCGGCTTGCGACGTGTCTTCGATTCTATGAAAAATAAAGAGATATATGTAAATATAACGAGCAGCTCGTCGCCTCGAAGTAATAAGAGTGACATTAGGTATGAAAACGAATGAAACAAAGAAAAATGTAATACCCCTAGATTATTATAATTATTATTTTTCAATCTTCATTACTTCTCTTTTTTACTCTCGAAGTCATCGTACAATGTCGGACGATCGATCGTACCTCAGAACCACCTGTAAATATACATATGCATATATATATAATATATATATCGCCATTGTCATAGTGGATTTAATCGTAATAAATCGTGGCATCGAACGTTGTAAATAAAAATCGCCGCCCCACCCCTCATTGAACGTCATCGATGGTAAATAATAATAATAATAACTCTAGCAGCGCCCATTAAAATAAATACCATATATAACAGTCAGTCATGTAAACGGAGCGCAGCTTTTCACATATATCTTCCCTGTTCTTAAAAAAAAAAAAAGCTCCATACACATATCCATGAGAGTCATCCTAAGCATGCGGTACACGTATGATTAGATTATATCGTAGATGAAAGAAAGATAAACGAAAGAGCGTGCACGTCAAGTTGTATAGCTACGTGGTATCGTGTATTTTCTCCTCTGATTTTGTACAGCAGATGAACTTCCGAGTAAAAGAAAATATAATTATGTGAATCCTTTTTCTCCGATGTATAATAATTTAGATATTCTTTTCTTGTTAGTTCTCTCGCGCTAACGGAAATTTCCTGTCGCTAGGAGGAACTACGGTAGAGACAGACGTGGCTAACCTCTGTTGGGATTTGTCGAAACTACGGAGGCGATTTGAACGATGCCACAAGAATGGCGGGAAAATCAAATGCGGTTGATTATCCTATTGTGTTTTGATCGTCGTAGAGAGCTTGTATGAGAAATTTCTAATGTACCTCGTAGATCTTAAACCCATAAGTGAGAAGCTTGCTATTTTAGATGTCCCACATATCATATGAGGTTTTTCTAAAAGTTTCGACGATCTACGAGCCTATTACGTTTATGTATAGACACGTAGAGAGAGAGAGAGAGAGAGAGAGAGAGAGAGAGAGAGAGAGAGAAAGAGAGAGAGAGAAAGAGAGAAATAATTAATGAGAATTACGTATACCCGTAATACGTGATTAAGGCACACTCGATTAATCGCTAATTCCAAAAGTTTTAAACAGGCCTCCATTGGATATTAATAACGATACATTCCATCGTTTAGTGATTATTGATCTTATCGATTTTCCTCTTGTTCATACAGATAATATGTACATTCTCCTTTTTCTTCGGATACACACACACTGTGGGATTTTTGCTTTGTTATTATCTGGGGGCGTAGGGAAACTTTGCAATTTATTTTAATTTAGCGTATTCTTTGTTGGGTTGTGAATTTGTGGAAATTATCGATTTTCGATATTTTCTCATCGAGTTCGATGATATTCTCAGCCGTTCGATCGTGTCGTGTCCAAAAGACTGAGAGGATCTCTATATTTTATTTTTTATTTTTTTTCATCAGCAAATTTTCGTCGCACCAAGTCTAAAAGTTCCGGGACATTTGTTTAGGCAGGCAATAAATCGTATTTTTAAAAGATTATTATCTGTAATAAAAATTTTATCCTTTATATCTGCAATCACGTGCGAGAAGCTCCGTGCTTTTTGTATATCCTACTTTTTCTTAACATATCCATTTTTTTAATCTCATAGTTTTTCACGTGACCTATATATGGATGTACGAAACCTATATGGGGCGTGCGACGCGCAACAGAAAACGGAAAAATACGAATAATATAAATAGCGGAAGCTAGTTGAATCGTTGATTGTACGGAAGATATTATTTTCTAATGGTATGGGTACTTTATTGCGAGAAATACACAAAAAGAGGAAAAAGGAAAGAACGCATGTCACGTGTTTAGAGTCGTTCGCGATTAATGCTGAATAAATTCCCTTGTAGAAATTTCATTATGAGAATCGAGGGTCCCGTCAGGGTCTTAACTAGCCTTGAACTGGTCCAGTAGGGCACCCAGACAGGTTTTGGATTTGCCAAAGAAAGTTTCTACTAGGAATATTATAATAATTAATATTGCTTACGTTAATATTGCTCCGTTGGGTTTTCTCGGTAAAGCATAACGAATTTATTTGAATTTGAATCGCGCGCGACTTTTCCTTCATATTTCCAAATTCGTTGCATATCAGCGCCTATCGATTTCTCGTTTTCCCGAATGATCATCGTCAATCAAAGTTTAAAAATATCGTCAGAGGGCTTTAGTATTGACTAATTACATAAAATAAGAAATAAAACGAAAATCGACGACTCGGTTCCCAACGGAAAAAAGGAGCCTACCAAGGAGTGTAGTAATAGTTTTTCAAAATGTTCGAAAAATGATCGCGTCCAACTCACACGCGTTTAATACAGAAGGGAAGCAAAGAAGAATAAAGAAAATTAAATATAAAAGAAAAGCGATACCATAAACAATTAAACTATCATCCCTCATCGATTATTACATTAAATTAAATCGAGATCCGGATGAAAAAAATCGCCATAACGTCGACAAGAATTCGCGAGGATTGGTTAACGTAAATCAATCGAGGCTATTCAATTTTAGGTTAAGTTAGTTTCCATTTCCGAGACAATTGTATATCGTGCGAGGAGTCGTCGATCGTTTTATGCAAGACGTGGAAATTATCGTCTGGACTTACGCGTTAGATAAAATCTGTAAAGAAAACAAGAGAGAGAAAGAGAGAAATCACTTACATTGAATATCCAAGAAAAAGTAAACGAAGCAAACGTACGATATGCGTTAACACTTCCAACGACTTAAATATCCACCTTAACCGTAACTCTAGCGGAGATCCGGCAAACTAATTCGTTTTGAAATTAAACGAACAAGTGACAACGGCAACGGTCGAATAATCCTGTCGTTTCCATAAATGTAAATTGAATCACTCGTTTCGAGAGAGTCGTGCGATTAGATCGCTTGGCGTTCGTGATCGAATAGCTCGAGAATTGAAAATTCGCAATGTAGTAGGAAACCACGGTGTATCCGATAACAAATATATCTATCAGTATTTACACGTATGGAATATCACGTTAGGTATACATATTATTGAAATAAGAATAAAAATATTATATATATAAATATTATATATAAATATAAATAAATATATATATATATATATATACATTGCATACATACACGAGAGACACGTTCGCGTACACGTACATTAAACAAGTAACGGATATGAACGTTGATGCTATTACAAGTAGAAATAGAAAAAAAATGGCGCTCACGAGCGACGGTTAACCGGCCGCTCGAAACAAAACAAAAACGAACCGAGCCTCTGATTACTATAGAAGAGAAATAAGGGATGAAAAATAAGAGGATAGTAAAAGAGAGAAAAAACAAAACGAATACGATTATCTGGGTGGTAATGATGAGAAGAAAAAAAAAGAGCTGATTAATAAGAAAGTAATCGAGGAAATAATTAGCGTGACACGTAACAGGATGTGTTTAATTAATACGAATTGCCTGGATACAAGTGGGAAAATGGACCCGAGAGATTTTAGCTGATTATCATGATATCCGTGTATTTGAGAATTAGTGGATTATTAATGGGGGG